CTGTCTTCTATTTCTTTGCTGAAAGAAACTGTCAGTGAGTCCTTGATTGATCAGTATTGCATGTCTCTGTTTTCATAAGAAACCACTTTGAAGATATCAATATGTAATACAACAAGCATTGTTAATTTCCTACCACTTTGTTTGTAACTTTGTATTGTCTGTACTGTTCTTTTGCTGTTTTGTAAAAGGTTGTCTGTTAATGTTTTCCTCCTTTTATTTTTAAAATAAAATAAAACAAAATAAAACAAAATTGCAAGTACTTGACGTGTAGGAGATGCTGGTCCACATTAGGTAACCAGGTGGGACTTTGCCTAAGGATGGCAGAATACAGACTGCAAGTTACAGAGGAGACCCAGTAACTCCAGGGAAATCGCCCACAGGGCTTGGTTCTGCTGGACACCGTTTCCTCAGTGTTTTTAACAAACCATTATCTAATTTCTGACCTGAGACTAACTAATTTTAAAAGTACGATTTAATTTTAAATGCCTCACCCTTTCCTAAATTGGTTCCCAAGCATTTGGTTTTCAGCGTCCCAGTCCAGTGAAGCTGTGTACAGAGCGCCACCTAGAGTCAAAGGTGCAGCTTGGAGCCACAGCTTCCCAGCAGTTTGGTTTGACTAATTTAGTACTTTTTGTAGACAGTATTTTGCTTCGTGTCTATTATATGAAATAAACAGGACTAGTTGTAAACGTCCCTATTTTTAGTTGAGAGTAAGTATTGGCTGCTTGTGCAGTAAATAAAAAGAAAAATTATAAAGTTGGATTTTTTCTTCATCCATGAAAGTAATAGAGTTTCATTTTAGATTTTAAAAATTATAAACAGGCAATTTCCCGATAAATTTTTTCTAAAGAAATTTATTCAGTGATAACCAGTATTAATATTGTGAGGAAATTTCTTGCAGTATTCTTTGCAAACATAAATACATGATTTATAAATTCATGTGTTTAAATTTAAGATTACGTCAGGTTTTTCCTGTTTCACAAGACATATTGTGAAAATTTCTCCACTATCATTCAAGAATTATGTAAAATTTTCATTTTAGTACTTGCTTAACCTTTGTACTTTATCTGTCAGCTCCCCCTTGTTTGGTTTTCGTGTGTATGCATAAACTGATAGCAGAGGGTTCTGTGTTGCACAGATGTGCCCTAACTGTGTATATAATGAAATGCCCTGGATTCTTCATATTATAAATGTCAGGATGCTTCCATATTGGTGTGCGTTTTTCATAGGTGTAAATTTTTATGGCTGCTGCTAAAATATTCCTCCATTGTACTTTCCAGTGTTCCGCAAACACGAGCTCCTAGAGAGCAGACGCGTGTTGCTGCCTCTCTAATCTTTGACTGCACTGGTCTCTCGCAGAGTGCTTTCATTCTGAGTGTCTCCTCCACTCTGTCCTCACGAAACTCAGTACCGCATGTACTCCTTCAAGCCTTCTACTCCCACTCCTTTCTCCTGTGTGTCACTTTCCATTCTCCCAACTCTTTCTTTCACGTTTAATTTCTGCCATTTTTCTTCACTTTATTGCTGTTTTGGGAGATGGACTTCTCCTTTGGAAATTCTGATGAATGATTTTTTGCAGTGGAAGAGAAAACAGTAGCTGTGCCCTTGTGAAAGCTTCCTTCCTCTGGTATTTTGACAACAGGTGGATATCAGTATTGACAAACAGCAAAGAAGAGGCCCTCACCATGGCCTTCCGTGGTGAGCAGAGCACAGGGGAGAACAGCCTGGAAGATCTGACGAAAGCCATCATCGAGGATGTCCAGCGGCTCCCTGGGAACGAGGTCTGCTGTGACTGTGGCTCATCAGGTATTCGTCTCCAAGCTTGAATAGCTTATGAATCCTCTTTCTGCCCACATGATATAAAGTGAGCTATCTGCATAAAGCCTTTCTCTGAGGCACGCTTAGACACACAGCCAAAGCATCCCCCCACCACTGAGCTGCTCTCCGATGTTTTCCTTAATCTGCACACCTCCCACCTGCTCTCCCAGTGGTCACGTGCCACAACACTGCCTTTCCTATCAGGTTCCCCAAGTAAGCAGCACAGGCATTGTGAGGAGAGGAGAGCACAGAACATGGTGCCCACATTTTGAATCATGCATTTGCCATTCGCAGCCTGGACAGTTTCATGCTGTGTCCCGTTTTATTCTGAGCCACAATTTCTTATCCTTAAAATGGGATCCTAGTATGAGGACTTACTAAAATGGTGCATATGAAATCTGCTGACATGTATTTCTTTCCTTCCTGCACATGGGAACCTCCCAAACCTCTAAACCTGTAAACCAAGAGCCACCTTTCCATGAACTTACATTTTCAGAAACCTCATACACTACCAAGTTACTGGTAGCTAACATGTATTGTTTGCACTGTGCTAAGGTTTGTGCTTGGTGTTTATGTTACCATGTTGAATCCTCATCAGAGCTCTGTGAGTGAGATGCTAATATTATCCCCGTTTTACAGATGAAGTGACTGGGGCTCAGAGAATTGAAGTGATTTGCACAGGGTCACACATCTTGTAGGGGTCAGAAGAGGGATGCCGACCTAGTGTTCTTAAGCGCTATTGTGCATTTTCTGTTCTACTTGCAACACCAGACTTCACTACACAGGCCCCAGACACCCCTCAGAGAAGTCTTGGGTTTTCTAGTGTTTCAGGTATAACTGTGATAGTGACTCACAGTGTGAGGAAATGGCAGAGAAGTAGTAAATACTCAGGTGTTCACCTATCAAAAAGAAATGACACCGAAAGAACCCTAAAGTTTTTAGTGACATAGAAGTACTATAATTGTTTCTACTGTTCTGGAGCTCTTTGAAATTGCAGGGGAAAGCCTGGGTCTTTGAAAGAAACATTTTGTGGTCAGTATTTATAGCTGTCTTACTACCAAGAGGTACTTCTGGGGAAGCCATCACCAAGACTGACATGTTAGAGCTCTTTGTAACACAAAGGTTTATGGTAGCGTTAGAACCTGGTCCCTTGTGAGCAGTCCCTAATGAACCTTCAAATCTTGCCAAAGATCATTTTGCATTTTTGTAAGGGTAAAGGTCTGCACTTTGGTTTAATTCAGGAAAACTTATTTTCCTTGTAATGACCCTTAAGATAAGCCACACGTATCTATGTATTCCATGTCACTCCTTCAATCATAATAATTCTAACAAGTTTCACTATTATTTTAGCATCTTCTGTAGATGGCACACTAAATTGAGTATCTTCTTTGTTTCATTAAATCCTTTCCACAGAACCCACTTGGCTTTCAACCAACCTGGGTATCCTGACCTGTATCGAATGTTCTGGCATCCATAGGGAGATGGGGGTTCATATTTCTCGCATTCAGTCTTTGGAACTAGACAAATTAGGAACTTCTGAACTCTTGGTAAGTCATGACCTGTGCTTTGGAAGAGAACTTTTAAGTTTGTTATGAACATGTTTAATATGTTGCTTTGGGGGTTTTTGTTCCTGTTGTGAAAGAAATTCTAATTACTGAATTTTATAAATTTGCTTAAATATTTAAAATTTAATTTTTATGGTGTATAATGTTTACTTGGTGTAACTGGCTCTTATCTTTTTGATTGGTCCTTCAAAGCTGCTTTCTTATTTGAGAATTCATTTTGATAGGATTCATAATAACAGTGGTTAAAATCATATATTCATATTACCTAGTGGTTTGTGTTATTAAAGATAATGACTGAAAAGTTTTCCTTTGTTTTAAAGTGTACATGAATTGGGAATACCCTGTTAACTATTGTTGCAAAGCCAGTTTCTCCTTAACCCAGAAATTCTTTATGTAATAAGGTAGTAGATTGTGTGAATTTGTAGTTAGATTTATAATATGAAAATAAGTTATAGACACTTTGTTTTTCTTTGAACATTGCCCTTCCCATCATGATTCACCGAAATCTGGAGCCCTCATGAGTTCTAGGCTAAATTTGTCGCTTTAAAATACCAAAAGCAAGGAATCCTTGGCATCCCCCATATAATGCCTTGTGATCATAAACCCTGTTTTACAAAATTTTAACCCTGGTACACTCAAGAAAGTCTTTGTACTAAAAGTGTAGAATTTTTAAAATAAAATAGAAATCCTCAGAGGAGTCACCACTGAGCATTACTTAAGTGAACTAGAACTCAGAAAGAGTTGACAATCTAGCTTCCTACTAGTCCTGTCTGGAGAACAGTACCACAAAGTGATGGTTACTCATCTCGTGGCCTTTGACCTCAAAGTATCCGTTAAGCAATGATGATATGTCCTGTCTGCATGAGCATCTTCATTTGGGCAGCTGGAAATTATCATTATCATGCTGATACAGGGCTCCATGTTTCACTACAGGATAATGAAAAAATAGCTTAGACCTAATTCCTGGAACGCATTCTCCTCTAGTACAGAAATGAGCTCACTCCATCTCCTTGACTTGTATAATGAAACCCAGTTTGACTCTGAGAAATAGGAATATCTGAATACTAAACACTTGCTGTACAGTAAATCCCCAATTTTTTCATCCAAAGACCTGTCTGCGTGGATGTTTTTAAAATTTTGCATTAATCTCAAAAGTAAATGAATGAAGCCAGGTGTGCATGCCTTAATCCCAGCACTTGGGAAGCTGATGCTATTGCAAGTGAGGCCAGCCTAGGTTACATAGTGAATTCAAGTTCAAAGGTAGCCTAGACTATATAGTGACCCCCTGTCTTCACAAAAGAAAGAAAAGCAGACCTAGTGGTACACACCTATAAATAATCCAGCACTCTGGGAGGCTGAGACAAGAGGATCACAAGTCGAAGCCCAGCTTGGGCAACTTAATGAGTCTCTGTCTCAGTATAAGAAAGCACTGGAAATGTAACTTAGTACAGAGGTCCTGGATTCAGTCCCCAGGACTTGGGGTAGGGGGAGCAAGTGACCAAAAGCCTCACAAGGCAATCCTGGGTCCTCCTCTATTGTTACCTGTAGCATCTTAATCCACTCCTAAATCTAAATGAATCCCACTTGCTTCACTGCCCTCTAGGAGTAAGTCTGGTCAGCATGAAAGAGAAATGTGCTTGCTGGTGGTTTGTTTCTGTTCATTAAGCGTTTAGCCGTATGCAGCCTGTTTGGTCCATCTTAGATGCTGTACTTTGTACATGTGTAGGGCGAGACCCTCTTCTACTTGGCATTTTTCACGTTATATTTATAGATGTCACAGATTTTCTTGTTAGTGGCTTGGTCCCTCTCAATCCTGAATGTAGTTTGCTTCTGTCCAGCACTTAATCAAAAGTTAATGTCTGGCATGTAGAAGATACGCAGTAAATTCTTACTGACCAGATGGGTAGATGGTTTGTGTTCTGAGTCAAATGAAGGAAAATGGATATTGAGGAAGCTCAAAGGCAAATAATGGAAAATTAAAGTATAAAGAGCTTATTATATTGTGTTTTGCTTATATTACAGCTGGCCAAGAACGTAGGAAACAATAGTTTTAATGAAATTATGGAAGCAAACTTACCCAGCCCCTCACCCAAACCCACCCCTTCAAGTGATATGTAAGTATTTCTAATACATGGACTTCTTCACCAATCTTTAACTGCTTTTCTATCCCCAGAAAGTTTTTCTTAGTGGTTACAATATTTTCTCCAATTATCTGTGAAAGCAGAGCAAAAACAAGTATTTTGAGTGTATTTCTGGAATACACAGGTTGTTGTCACCGTCCCAGGATATCATAGGATGTTGTTCCCATCACTGTCCAGGGAGGGAGCAGCTGAGGGCCTGCTCTGTGGAGCACAGATCTTAATGAGGACAGTTATCTCTCAGTCGTGTCCTGTTGGGATTGGAGATGTAAAAAAGACCAGGGAAGGTTCTCATGTGATTGGCAAAAATTCAAATGCTTAGCAACCCACTCAGCAAGTCTTGGAGGAAACAGACATTCTGCTGTGTTGCCAGTAGGGCTACAAACTGGTACATGAGGAAAAGCAGATTCACTGTGTTTACCAAAATTATAAATCTTCTCAGCCTCTGACTCAGCTGTCCCACTCCTAAGAACTTACTCCTGTTCTATAATAGGAAAAGATCTGTCACAAAGCACATGTCTACTAACAGGCCTCTGAGTAAATTTTCTGTGGTACAGCCACATAATGGAGCACTATGCAAGTGTGAAAAAGGGTGAAGCATTCTATCTTCTGATTTAAAATGATCTACAGGATTACTGTTTTAAGAAAAAGGTAAGATGAAGAGCACTGTGCAAAATAAACTAGCTTTGGGGAAGGGAGGGTCGCTGGGGTGTAGGGAGAAGGAGATCCCCTCGTGATCCAGACTATGTGCAAAGTCAGGAACTGCAGTTTTGCTATATTTATTGACAAATCCCTTTTGAACTTTAATTACCACATAGTCTCAGAAACCAGATATATTCAAGTAGTAAAGAATGCATTATTATATTTGTTTCTTTCGACTTGTATTTGCTTAAATCACGCAGGAAATTAATAAAAGTGTGTCCTCTGCGGTGGAGGAGTGGGCATGAGATTTCCCAATAAGTACTGTTTGATAATCACTTATTTTCGAGCTGTGTAAATCTATTAATCTATTCAAAAACTTTTTAACTGACTTTACAGCTAAAGTTTTAGGGGATTCTGGCAAGACACCACCTGCAGACCTTCCTGGAGCTTAGCTTTGTGCACCCCGAGGCCTCCCTCCCACAGCCCCCACTACCAGTCCTCTCCTCCCTTGTAGGGCCAAGTGCAGCTCAGGGCCCAGTGCTTGTTTAGCAGCAGTTGGAAGGAATTTGCTAGGTGTGCCCTTAACCCATGCGCCACTTCTTGTCCCTTACTCCTGTTCTTGCTTCCCTGGAGAGTGGTAAGTGAGGCAGGTATGATTACTAATATTTTACAGATCAGAAAACTGAAGTACAGCAAAAGCGTGATTTATCCAGGGTCACGTAGATAGCAGAACTTAAATCAAGCCGTTCAATTCCTTCCCTCCTTCCCTGTCCCTCTCTCCCTCCCTGTCTCTCTCTCTGTCTCCCCCCCCCTCTGTCTTTCTTTCTCCCCGCCCCCCTTTTTGTACTGAGCTACATACAGCCCTTTTTATTTTATGTCTTGAGACAGGATCTCAACAAGTGACTAAGTTGCCCAGGCTGGACTTGAACTTGCGCTCTTGCCATAGCCTCCATAGAGCCATGATTACAGGCATGGGCTAGCACATCCAGCAAACCGAGTACTTCTTAAGTCTGATGCTTCACATACAACAGGAGACCTAGAGCCCAAACTTAGGCCATTCTTTTAGCCATCTGAAAGTCTTCTAGCCATCCTAAATTATGGCCATCCTAAAAGGACCTTGACCCACATGTAAAAGACACCCATGAGTGTAAGACCTTGGTTACTTAGCTGAATCAGCAAGTCACCTCACTTGGTTGAGAAAAAAAAAATCAACCCTTAAGACTGCCAATGCAGAATGAACGAAAAAAGGCGTCAGCACAATTATAAAGTGTTGCCTAGCTGTAGAATGTGGGGGACAACAGCGGTTACCACAGGTGGAAAGGGTATTTTTTTTTATTTAAAACTTTTATTAAAAGGCACATTGCCACGATCCCACGCAGAATACTCCCCTCAAAGTCTATTTCTGAGCAAGAAAGTTTATGTCCCTCACATTAGAGCCCTCTGGGAAGGAAGCATCTGTTAGGTGCTGTGTATTCTCACTGAGTTGACTATTGGTGTACAGGAACACTATTGATTTTTGTGTGTTGGTTTTACATCCTGCTGTACTAGTCAACTTGATTATTAATTCTAGAAGTCTTTTGGTGGAATTTTTGGTCTTTATATAGAGTAAATGTCATCTGCAAAAAACAATAATTGAACATCTTCCTTTCCTATATATACCCCTTTTATTTGTTTTTCTTGCCTGATTGCTCTGCTAATATTTCAAGGACTGAGTTGAACAGTAGTCACAGTGGTGGAATCCTTATCTTGTTCCAGATTTTATAAGGAAAACTTTCAGCTTTGCCCCCATCTAATATGATGTGTTGGCTGTTGGTTTGTCATAAAAGGCTTTTATCAGATTGAGATAAGGTCCTCCATAGCTCCTTTCTTCAGGGTTTTTATCATGAATGGAGGCTGGGGATATAGCTCAGTGTCATAAGCACCTGCCTGGCATGTGCAATGTCCTGAGTTCAATTCCCAGTACCAAAAAAAAAAGTCGCTGATATCATGAATGGATGTTGGATTTCTTACACACTTTTTCCCCATCAGTTGAGATGATCATGTGATTTTTGTCCTTGTTTATGGGTATAGTACATTTATTCCTTCCTTCTGTCTCTTTTGGAATAATTTCATCTAATAACTTATTTGTTTGGAAGAAGCATATCTTAATTAAAATAATTTCTCAAAGAGAAATGTTTGTCATAAAAATTTAAACCTTTCTTAACTCTTAGAAAGAAAAAATTCTTTGTCCTTTTGTTCTATTTTAGGACTGTACGAAAAGAGTATATCACTGCAAAGTATGTAGACCATAGATTCTCAAGGAAAACCTGTTCCTCTTCATCAGCTAAGTTGAATGAATTGCTTGAGGCGATCAAATCCAGGGATTTACTTGCACTAATTCAAGTCTATGCAGAAGGGGTAGAGTTAATGGAACCTCTGCTGGAATCTGGTCAGGTGAGGCCTCACTAAAGCCATAGGATTAGGAGTAAGAAATTAGTTTAAATGATTACTTATGTTATCCAAATACAGTATAATGTGATTTGTACACATTGATTGGGTGAACCTGTCTAAACAAGAGAATTTGAAAAAGATGGGCTTTTACTTGGGGAGCTGATGTAAACAAAGCTGCAGCAGGCATGTGATTACCTATTTAGACTTATTCTTCACTTCTTAGGAGCTTGGGGAGACAGCCCTTCATCTTGCCGTCCGAACTGCAGACCAGACATCTCTCCACTTGGTTGACTTCCTTGTACAAAACTGGTATGTCTGTTGAATTAACTGAACATAACCTAGAAGTTGGCACAGAGCAGCCCTAGCTCCTAGATCACAAGCCTAGATAGAGACTCAGCAAGCCTTTTCTGTAACGAGCCAGGTAATAATAATTGTAAGCTTTGCAGGCCATGTGATCTCTGGTGCATCTGTTCACCTCCATCATTATGGTATGAAAGCAGCTACAGGCTGTATGAGTGAACATGATTATATTCCCAAACAATTTTATTTACAAAAAACAGGGTGGGCTGGATATGGCCGAGAGGCTAGTCTTCAGATGCCCGACCTCACTAAGTGTGAAATCCTGTCTCTGTCCAAAAACCTGCTGCATTAGGAGAGGTTGGAGAGAGAGGACTTACCACCATAGGCAGCCAAATTAGTGAAGTTTTTGTTGTTCATAAGCTCAGTGTGAGGCAGCAAATGTAAACAGCTGGATCAGCAGCTAATTCAAATTAGGGACATACTGATGGGAGTATAATACTGAACATAGCAAAAGCTTATGTTTGCTGGATTCTTCATTGGGTTACTCCGTAAGCAACAGGCTATGGAAAGGAGCTGGAGCTATCCAAAGGAGAGTGATCAAAAAGGGAGGGGATCTGAATCCATATACAGAGCATGGTACCTGGCCACAAGCCAGATTGTCTAAGGGTACAGGCTCTTCCTTAGGGATAATCCAGGGTAGTAATTAAGAGCATTGGCTCCAGAGACCACCTGTGTTTGGATATCCCCTGCATCATCCCTGTGTTGATCTACCTCTCCATGTCTTGGTTTTTCATTGGCAAAATAGAGGCTACAGTACCTGTCAGATGGGTCTGAAGATTAAATGAACTACTGCATGTGAAAGCTGAGAAACAGTCAGCCCCATGGTAGGCCCTCAATCAGTGCTGGCCATTACCATCAGTACATTACTTATAAATTTAGGTATAATTTGCCCTCGTGGTAAAAGTTCAAATTTGAGTCAGTTATTAGCACAGAAAGAAGTGTTTATGAGGCCCAGCATGGTGCCTGTTACCCCAGTTACTCAGGAGGCTGAGGCAGGAGAATCGTAAGTTCAGGGCGCCCCATACAGCATAATTTGACCCTCACTCAAGGAAGAGAGTGGAGGGCAGTGCCGGAGGGAAGGGAAGGAGAAGAAAGGAAAGGAGAGAGGGTGGAGCTGGGGACAGTAGTCCCTCCTTTACCTGCCGTCTGCCGTGGTGTGAAAATACTAACTGGACAATTCCAGAAATAATTGATGATTTTTAAATACCTTTCATTACAGTATACTATTAAAATTACTGTTTTGTTATTGTTGTTACTCCCTTACAGTGCCTAATTTATGAATTAAACTTTATCCCTGGATATCGTATAGGAAAAATAGTATAGATAGGGTCTAGTACTGTTCATGGTTTCAGACATGTGCAGGAGGTTTCAAAACATACACATTGTCCATAAGGGAGGAATTGCTGTATATGTAGTATTAAGTTGTTAAGTAAGTCATTTTTTCTGATCGTACTGTTATTTTCAGTGGAAACCTGGATAAGCAGACCTCAATGGGAAACACAGTTCTGCACTACTGTAGCATGTATGGCAAACCTGAGTGTCTGAAGCTTCTTCTCAGGAGCAAGCCCACTGTGGACATTGGTGAGAACCTCGTTGCTGATGTCTCTAAAAACCATCAGAGAACATTCCTTCAGTCAAACTCATAGTTGCACGGTACATTTGATGATTGTTCTTTGCCTTTGTAAGATCTAGCCTAGATTAATAATAGAAATTTATTTCCCCCTATTTTAGTGAACCAGGCTGGAGAAACTGCCTTGGACATAGCAAAGAGACTAAAAGCTACCCAGTGTGAAGATCTGGTAAGCAAAATTGGAAGAGGGGGTTTATTAGATATTAGTTGCCTTAAAAAATGTCATTTGGAGAAGCAGGAATTGGAAATAAAGAAGCATATTCATGTTTTTAAACATTGCCTGAAGAAATGCACTCATGCCAAGCGTGGTGGTGCACTCCTGTAATCCCAGCACTAGAGAGGCTGAGGCAGGAGGATCGTTGCGAGTTCGAGACCAGCCTGGGCTACAAAGTGAACTCAAGGCTAGCCTGAACTGCATAGCGAGACCCTGTCTCAAAAAGAAAGAGAAAGAAATGCACTCAGCACTAAGCTGTGTTTGAAGAAGTGGTAAAATAGCAAGTCTGCCCTCCACACGCCTTTTAAGCATAGTTAAGACTTGGGTACTGAAAGGCACTTGGGAGGTAGTGTTGTTGCCGTGTGGCATTATGGATTGAGGTCCTGTTTTTGACTTGCCAGACCATTAGGGTTTCCCTGCAGCTAACAGCACAGACATGTTTGAGAAGCACTTCCAAAAATTAGGCGAGTGAAGCTCCGGGTGTATTGGTTTCCACAACGTTGAACCTGCTTTTCTCAGGACTGTGCTCTGCTCTTCCACACACATGCACCGTGTTGTACTTCACTAGCTCTTGCTTAGTAATCTGGACCTTGTGCTCATGTAGTACTCCTAACCATGGCGTCCTAGTCTGTGATAACAGTGCCACACCATGGGCGAGTTATAGAGAAAGGGGTTTATCTTGGCTTGCACCTCTGGTTCATGGCCTGCTTGCTGGCACAGGGCAGTGAGCCATGAGAGACAGATGTGTATGTGTGTGTGTGCACTGACCTCTTTCCCACTTCTCCGAAGCCACCAGTATTCAGTCATGGATGACCTTATCTAATCTTCACCACTTCCCAAAGGCCTCCCCTCTGAAAACAGTAGTCAAGTTAAACTCCCACTTACTTAAACCTTCACAATGGGTATTAAATGTAACATGAGTTGCAGAGGGGACAGACCACAGTCAAACCATAACGCATGGAAGAAATAGCAGGAAAAAAGTTACATTCCCACAGGTGTCTGCTAAGTGCCAGATTCCAGGCCTGGCAGTTGTATTTCTTTTATTCTTAAATGACTTCTTTGAGAGTCAAACATGGTAGTATACACTGTAATCTCAGCACAAAAGAGGCTGGAGCAGGAGGATCATGAGTTTGAGACCAAGCTGTACTCCATAGGGAGTTGAAGAAGAGCCTGGACTTAAATAGGGAGTTCGTATCTCAAAAAATAGGAAGAATCCTTTGAGGCAGGCTATCACTGCCTGCATTTTATAAATAAGAAAAGGACTGGGACAGTGGTGGTGGACCTAATGGCATGAATGCTGCAGTGCTTTCATCATTGAAAACTCTAAAAAGTTTGCCATCACTGGCCTAGGCCCTACCTCTGAAACTTGAAAGACTCCTGAATTTGCTTTCCAGACAGGAATTTGCAGTTTTGAAACTCTTTTATAGTGGCTTTTTTGGGGTTGGGTTGGGTTGGGTTGGGTTTGTTTGGTTTTTTTTTGTTTTTGTCTTTTCCAGGCAGGGTGTCCCTATGGAGTTGTTTGTTTTTTGAGACAGTCTCACCATTAGTTCAGGCTGGGCTTAAATTCACTACTGCACAGGCTGGCCTCAAATTCACAATGATCCTCCTGCCCAGCCTCCCGAATGCTGGGATTGCAGATGTGTGCCACCATGCCCAGCCTAAGACTCATTTTGATATTGAGAAAGCTTTTTATTTGAAAGAAAAGTAATAGTATCAAAATAAGAAAGGCTGTATCTATAATTTTTTACAGTCCCTGGGACCTATCATATAGCAGTCTAGCTTGTCTTATCAGAGTTGCATCCATAGTGCAGCTGCTGCTGATTCCTTTTTTTTTTTTCTTTTTGGTACCAGGAATCGAACTCAGGACCTTACACTTGCCAGGCAGGCGCTTATGCCACTGAGCTATATCCCCAGCCTGATACATTTGAAAGCAGGAATAAAGGGGAATTTGCTCAGTGTTTGCCTCACATTGGGGTGTTTACAATGTTTGGCATTTTGTTTAAAATGTTACACTCTTGCTGTTACTTCTAGCTTTCCCAAGCTAAGTCTGGCAAGTTCAACCCACACGTCCACGTTGAATATGAGTGGAACCTTCGACAGGAGGAGATGGATGAAAGTGATGACGATCTAGATGACAAAGTAAGTACAAAGGGTGCCCTGAGTTCCCTCGTCCTTTCCCAGCTTCTCTGCATTGTATGGACAGGAGCCATTTCCCATGAGGTGCATCAGTTTGGTCTTATGACCTGATGTACCAGGAACCTTTTTGGATGCAAAACCACCAATCCCTGTTGGGCACCTCTCAACAGCTGAATTAGTCAGTCTTCTCCAGAGAAACAGAACAGATAGCATAGAAAGAGATGGAGAAATTTATTTTAAGGCATTGGCCCAGCCCACTGTGAGTGGTACAAATCCCTGCAAGAGGTGATACAGAATTAAGGCTGAAGGCAATCTGGAAGCAGAATTCTTTGCTCTTTTACTTTGAGCCCTCCAACTCACTGGATGAGACCTGCTCACGTGGAGGGGAATGCAAAACCTTCTCATTTTGATGGTTAATCACATCTTAAAAGATATTTTAGCTAGGCATGGTGGCTAACACCTGTAATCCCAGCACTCAGGAGGCTGACACAGGAGGATTATTGCAAGTTCAAGACCAGCCTGGTCTACAAAGTGAGCTCAAGGCCCGCCTGAACTGCATAGCAAGACCCTGTCTCAAAAACACACACAAAAAAGATATTTTAGTCTAGGTGTCTAGCTCAGTGGTAGACTACTTGCCTAGCATGCACAAGGCCCTAGGTTCAATCCCCGACCCTTTCCGCCCCACACATCCTCACCACCACCCCACTGCCAAAAGAAAACTGTTGCAACATCAGCTTTGGAATTTGACCAAACACTGGGACCCCATAAACTAGCTGTGCTGACATACAAATTAACTTGCAAAGCAGCAGTTAATAAACACTAAAAGTAGTTTTTATGGAGTATTTAAATATGGACAGGGGCTATGTTAAGCACTTATGTTATTTCAGTCCATCTTTACCAAATGTGCATAAAGGATATTGGTATTTCCTCCATTTTATAGAAAAGAAAATTTAAAGGACTTAACAACCTGTGTAAATTCTTATAGCTAGTAAAGACAGTTCTGTGGATTAAACCTAGTTTTCTATCACTCTTTCAGAGGTAGTTCTTAACTGACTCTGGAAGTTCATTCTCTTGAATGCCATGCAGGATATAAGGAATGTTCAAAAAGGTACTGAAGCTCTTCACCTCTTCAAGAGAAGATAAATTACAAAGCAGTATGCTAACTATGATACTGAGAGTTTGAGCAAATTCCTGAGAAGTATTCAGAGAACCAAGCAGCTCCTGAACCTTGGCAAGCAATATAGTTCAGATCAAGGAAATGGCGCTGGAGATCATTCTCTGAGGGTAGATGGGCATTTGCAAAGACAGAGATGGGGAGGAAGGAGTCATTTCACCCAGGGAAGCACCATGAGCCACGGCAAGGAGTCATGGTAGTGCCTGGATGTCTGAAGAGGACCTGTGTGAAGTGCATCCTCCTGATGATTGGGGGCAGGGGTAGGATGGTGTCCTGCAGAGTCAGGCAGGCCAGATCAGCAAGGGCTTTATGAGGCGAGCCTGGCCTTTTGTCTTGTATCCAAGCAAGCATTCAGAAGCCAGCAGAGGTTTCTTATCAGAAGAGTAAGGGTTCTGACTAGTTCTGGCCGTGGAGGCAAGGCCATTCCAGAAGCTAGTGCAGCAGTGGAAACTGGACACCCAGCAGCAATGGGTTGAGGGCTGTTTCTGAGGTGTCCATGCAGTCCCTGGGGTTCCAGTTGACTTGAGGTCTCTTACTTGGCAGTTGAGTGAACGTTAATGCTGTCACTACACATAGAACAGCAGACACTGCACAGGCGGTTGCAGATGCTTGAGACCTGAAAGAGTCTGTGAGTCATCAGCATACACATGGCCCCTCGAAGCCCTGGTATGAATGAGCTGCCTTTCCAACAGGGTGTAAATTGAACAGTAGTGAAGATTGAGAACTTCAGTGTTGAAGGATTGAGCAGGGAAAGGAACTTCGTGTCGCATATTACAGATAGATGGGAATGCTGTTGGAATGTTGGTGAAAAGTGCCCTGCACAGGGAAGGTGTTTGTCAGTGAAGGGCTAAATCTGACTATAACCTTATGCTGTGCTTCTCTGAGTACTCTGAGGATCCCTGCAGTACTGGCTAGTTGATTGATGGGCCATGGAAGTGGCAGTAGTGTGTCTTCCCTTGCACTGTCATCGCTGTGAAGTGCTTGCGATGGCTGACCTCAGGCAGCACAAGAGCTGCACGAATCCAGCTGACCACCTGAACCTAGTCTGCTGAGGTCCTTATACACCTTAGGGTTAGTCCTCAGTTGTCATCTCACCCACTGTTATTTCATCCGCCAGCCAAGCCCAGTCAAGAAAGAGCGCTCACCCAGACCTCAGAGCTTCTGCCACTCCTCTAGCATCTCCCCGCAAGACAAGCTGGCACTGCCAGGATTCAGCACTCCACGGGACAAGCAACGGCTCTCCTACGGAGCCTTCACCAACCAGATGTTTGTCTCCACAAGCACAGACTCGCCCACATCACCAACTACAGAGGCTCCCCCTCTGCCTCCTAGGAACGCCGGGAAAGGTATGGGCTTGTGAAGTGCTTTGCAGCTCCATCCTCAAAGCTGGTAGCCCACCCAGCTGTGGGCTCAGAACTGAAGGTATGTTTGAGTGGCTCCGTGTGGAATGTATTGTCAAAGACAGTGTGAAATAGGGATCTTGCCATTTCCCAGGTACCAGCAGCAAGACAGGCAGTGTTGCTGGGCACTCTCCGTCCATTATCTTGTATTAGCCTCACAATAGTCCTGTGCCTTTATGTCCATTTTACAGAAGAGGGAACAAGGCTCAAAGAGGTAAAATAATTTGCCCAAGATCACACAACCGTTAAGTGGTAGAAAAGAGATACAGTCCTAATATCTGCGTGGCTCCAAAACCTATGTTGTTTGTAACATGGGGTAAAATTTCCATCCTTTAAAATATTCCTTTTTTTTTGGTACTGGGAATCGAACTCAGGACCTCGTGCTTGCCAGGCATGCGTTTATGCCACTGAGCTATATCCCCGGCCCAGAATGTTCCTTTTCTCATAGTAAGTGCCTCTGTGTTGAAGGTGCTAGTAGTAATAATGGTGGGTACCAGTGGCTGAGCATGTCCCTTCCATGAGGCCCTAAGGCAAGCACTTCTCATTCCATGATCTCAAACAGGGTAGATGCTGGCATCGCGTAGATGAGGGGACTGTGGTTCAGAGATGCCAAGGCACTGGCCTAAGGTTCTCGGCTGCTTGGGATCCTAGCCTGTGTCCTGCACTCTCCTTTGAAGACTGTTTTCTCTGAGATGCTACCTGGAGAGGAGCTTCACCTGGAAGATGTGGAGCTCAGTTTTTACATACCTGCCACCCTGCTCTGCAGCACTGAGGCCCCCATGCTGTGTGCTCCTTGGACAGAGAGCATGTTAATGCCTGAATAGGGACAAGACAAGACACAAATGCCAGCACAGGGGTCATCCCCACCCAGGGGGATAGTTGAGAGGCTCCCTGAGCTACAGCGTCAAGTGTGGTCTTTGCCAGTAAATCAAAATGCAGGGTTCTCCCTGTGTGCTCAGCCCATGCTAGCACAGGTCTTGAGGGCCTCTCGCTGCACAATGCCATGCCTATTTGAATCACACTGGGGCTATTTTCTGGGGAATGTGAGCTTTATTCAAAGCAGTGTTTTTTCAGAGCTTATTCTTCATTGAAATCATGTTATAAATGGGAGCTGTGTTCTTACAGAGACCCCAAATGGCCTCATGCATCATAAAATAATGGAAGAAAGTTAAACTAAAGCTTTGGCCTAAGCATTTCTCATCAGAGATAACCAGTGGCTGTGACACTCATAGCACATGTAGCCAAAGACTTGCTCTGCCCATGTTTCTTACCATTCTGTGCATTGTATTGGAACATAGTTTTAAAAATCATGAACACATCAAGCTTCAGGTCTAGTGGTGAGTGCTATGCTGCTGTTTGCCTAGGAAATCACTCTCTCCAGGGCACCACCTGACAAAGCAGAGATGCTCTTTGTGCACCCTAGAGAGGACTGTGGAAAGGTCCCAGGCCAAATAAAGTGGTAGAAGAGATGACTCTGAAAGATTTCACTTTTCCTTATTGTGATTACTGACATGATACAATGCCCTGTCTGCACAGATACCTCTCTATATCTGTTCAGAGAGCTTCCAGATCATCAGGAATCTGCCACTTGGGTTACAGAAGAAACTGGCATCAGTCCTGGGGACCAACACACACTTCTTCCCCCGCTTTCTGTAATTTTATCTCAGGGGGACACGAAAACCCATAACAAACACTCAGGCTCAGTGCCAAGCATACCTCTACTGCCTTGAATAAATTCTAAGTAGCTCTTTACCAAAGACCCAGAAAACAAAGACTAAATTTATTTAGTGATTCAGCTGCTGAAACAAGAGCTTAAAGACTTGTCCTTACCAACTGTGGTCAACTAAGGATAGACTGTTTATCCTTCCCCTTAAAAAGAGAGCTCATAATTGAAAATAGAACTCCCTCCCTACTACAGTAAGCGTCCCTCCTTGCTGCTCATAGCAGGACATCAAATTTGGAGCTTTTGTCTGTCTACTGGTGAGACATGAGGGTAGAGCCTCCATATTATGACTTTTATAAGGGACATGGCTACCTTGACTCATAGGTCATTGCATTTGGAAAACTGGTAATGTTTAGAATGGAGGTACTAGAAAACATTGTTAAAGGTTAGCTGATGCTCATGCAGAGATAGTTCTGTTTTGTGGTCCCTACACTTACTCCTCTTTATTCTGCAGATAGAACCATTTGCATGAGAACCATTTCTCCATACTCTGGAAAGCCAAGCTATGGCTCTTTGCAGCAAAAGTCATCTTCACAAATATGAATTTTGGGTCTAAAAGATGATGGTTTGTGGTGAGGCAGAAACAGATGCTCATGACAAAGTTTCCACAGTAAGAGGCATGCAGGAGGGGCAGTAGCAGGGATTCCATTGAACCCAGCTTAGGAATATTTTCAAGAAACTCAGCTGCTTCATCAAAATTTAGGAAATTTTTGCCTGAAGTACCACAAAGCAAAGCCCCCTTGTGGCTGAGCAGAGCTCCAGTCTCAACACCACAACTGAGAATTCTGTATTCACCTTCCTCGGCCTCATGTAGGAACACTGTGCTGCCTGACCCCTCTTCAGAGGTGAGGTCCAGAGAGAGTAAGTGAAGTAAGTGTACATTTAAGACTAGAAGTGATTGAGGCCAAGAGTGTCCTAGAACTTGGAATTTTTTTTTTTTTTTAGCACTCATAGAATGCTGAAAGGTGAACACAAGCTGCATCCCACTGTGCAGATGAGGAAACTGAGCCCTAGCAGGATTAAGAAATTCTTTTCAGGTCACATGGTCCTGGAGTAGTATAGAAAATTAAAGTGGACCTCACGGCCTTCCAACTAGATCTGCTAGTTCCTTCTTTTCTGTGTTGAAGAAGGTGCCTCAGCTTTCTCTTGCCTGCCTTGTGAAGCTGTCATCAGAATCCAGCAAGACAGTGTGTGGAGAAAGTATTTTGTAAAATGCAAACCTGTGCACTAGGGGACATCGATGACTATTGATACTTCCAGAGTGTGGAAAAACGTGAGGGGATGCAGTACCATACTGCAGCACTCGCCCCATGGGACGGGCACTTAAAGACACACATTGCTTGTTTTTGCGTGGTTGATTTGTTTCATTTAACTGAGCTTTTAAAGAATTTCAAACTTAAGAATCGTGGCTTTCTTCCATTGTTCAACTTCATACTGTTTGTGTAACAAGGACAAAAACTTGCCCCTGACAGAGTCACTGTCTCACAGGAGATGGTTGTGCAGGTTGAATGACAGTCATAGGAGACATTTAGCTCAGCACCTGGTGCTTAGTGCTCTGCCAAGGATGCCACTGCAGTCATTGTGCCTTTGCAGCTTCTCATCTTTTAAGAAGGGAATCCTTTAAGGAATAGACACTACAGCGATGTCACCCAAGACTGCTAAATTAAGAGGTGCTTCAGTGAGGCCTGGCAATGTGTAGACACCTTAACTCAAAGGATTTGTTAAGTAAGTGAATGATAAATCTGATTCAAGAGGGGTAATTTGCCTGGAAGGACTAACTTTTGCCAGGCATGATGGTGCATGCCTATAATCTCAGCACTTGGGAGGCTGAGGCAGGACAATTACTCAAGCTGGAAGCCAGCCTGGGCTACATAGTGAGTTCAAGGCCAACTTGAACTACACAGTGAGACTCTGTCTTTTTAAAATTCAAAAAAAAAGACTTAACTTTCCAAGCTATTAGGACCTGAACCAGCTGATATGCTCATTGCCATTCATGACATGAGGCCCCTGGAATCAGGCTTTGTGGAGCCCTTTGCACAGGATGTGAATACTTGTCAGCATTGACCCTGCGTTTCATACACATTTGCTGTAGTGCAGATTTCCAGCCTCAGACAGGCTCTCGCCGTAGTTTGATAAACCAGCAGACCCTGCACAAAAGCCACACAGTGCTTGGCACGCTGCAGGCCCCAGTAGATGCTGTCACTAAAGGCTTGGTGCCATAGAGAGTATCAGCCAGATGCAACCCTAGCTGTCAGTTAAGGTGAAGAGTCTACCCTCATTAGACAAAGACTAGAGTGCAAGAGTGATGGCGTGCGTAAGGCAGCTCTTCTCTCAGGCCAAACATCAGCTACCTTAGCAGCTGTGAACCCTTGAGACGCTTTCAGACTTCTTTTTCTTCCAAGAAGCCTCTTTTCCTTGCCCCACAAAAAGACTGTGATTCCTTCTCCCGTAAGGGCCATTCTGCATTTGCACGTGTCTTGTCCTAACACTTAGCTGTAGGCTGTTTCAGAGTCTTCATCTGAGAAATGAGTACAGGGTATCTGCCCTGTTGAGTCCCTGCTTAGAGAACTTGGGATGAAGTTTGTGGAGTAGTGAACACAGCGAGCATTCAGCACCTGTGGGTTTGCTCCACCCCACTGCATGTCTTCAGGCCAACAAATATCCCAGGAATAAATACTCCAGGAGTGGGAACAGAGATGGGAGAAATGCTCCTGCTGTCATGGAGCTGGCACTGTGTGGCCAGGAAACAGTGGAACAGCCCCTGGGCCATTGAGTGGTGCTGCTGGCAGAGCAAGGAGGTGCAGCTCACAGTTCCACAGAGGGGCCAGGAAGCCTTTGTTTACTCCCCCACTTATTGCAAAGGAGCTGTCCCAGCATGCAGAGAGTACAGTGCTCCTCGGTGTCTGTGCTTGTTGAACACATAAACAACAACGGAAAGAATCAGTGAGAGCATGTCCCAAAAATAGGTGGTCAGAGTAAGGAGGGGGCATGCATAAAATGACACCAGATGTCCTGGGGGTGTGAGAGTTGACTTGCTGAAAATCTCTGTGAAATGTTTGCAGCAGTTTTGCCCAAACACAGCTGTGTAAGCATTTTATACAGCATTTCTCCAGCTTCCCTCCAGGGCCTGTAGCAGGAGTTCCAGAGGACAGAGATGAATGGAAAAGGAGAACATGTCTGCACTTATTGCAGCGGCCTGCCGTTAAGAAAGTGTGCTACTGGGTGATTCACACTTGGGAGAGATTTTCCAATCAGTACTTATTCATGCTGTATTGATGACGGCAGTTTCCAGGTGTTTTTTACTCCAGACAAAGACAGCAGTTTGACTGCTGCGAGTCCATAGCTTCTCCTGGCTTATTGTCTGTGCTTCATACTGGATTTGTGTTTGGGGTTTTTTGGTTTGTTTTGCCTTTATCAGTTTCTCCCAGTCCTTTTTAACATACTGCACAAGACTCACCAGTGTTGACTAAGAGCATTGTCTGTGATTTTTGCCCTCAACTGTGGCCACTGACTCAGGCTCTCCAATTGAGTGACCTGTGGAAAGGAAAACAGAAAATCCTTGTACTCTTGGAGCTCAGGGATGTATGAGCAACTGTTAACGAACCAATCCTAAACCCCTGAATCCAATGCTTTTCTCTCAGTTGTCTGTGTCATTGAAAGAGATTGGAGGACAGATGAACAGCTAGTGCTGTTTTCTGAGGAGATGAGCTGACAGAGCAGCGTCCTGCACAGGCACCAGCCTGCTGTGCCTGAATCCTGGCCGGCCCTGCTGCTGACTTAGCCAGTCCACCTCTCTGTGCCTGTTTCCCCCATGAACATGGAATCAGTGGCTCTGTCCTTCCACATGGAGTTTTCTTCTGCATATACATATACTATTTTTTTAATCTACTTTCAAAATAGTTAACATAAACGTTCTCTTCCTTCAGGCTTTATATGATAAAAACCATGATCAGTTAGATAGCAGGAATAAATTCAAGAACTCTGTTGCATAGTGTGGCGACTCTAGTTAATAATAATGTATTCTGGAAAATTCCCAAGTGTAGACTTTTAAGTGTTCTCACCACAGATAAATAAATGTGAGGTAATGCATGTTAATTAGGTCATTCACAGTATGTACATACTTCAGAATAGCATGTTGCATACAATAAATATATGCAATACTAATTTGTCAATTTTAAATACATTTTAAGAAAGCATTAGGAAATGATGACAATATGTGCATTTGTCCATTACTTCTTCTCACTTCTTAGATATAATTTGTCCCCCTAAATGACATGTTAAAATATGTAAGTTATACCTCTACAGACAAGATTTTTTAAAACTGTCAGGTTAATTTGTCAAGCTATCTTGTAGGTATTGGCTTTTTCTTGGAAATTTCAAAGATGTACCTTTGTTTGACCTCCCAGATGGAAGACCTCTGGGGTATCTTCTGTACTGAAAACCAGATACACAGATCGCTGGGAAAGCGCCCTGCTGACCTCCACTGTGAACCATTCCTGTAGACATGCATCGAGTACTAAGGGTGTGCTCAGCGCCAGCACTGGGACAGAGGAAGAGTACAGATCTTTTCTCTATGGAGGTGCACAGTCTGAGGGGAGAGAAGCAGCAGTTGTGAAACAAAGTAGAAGATATTTAGCACCTTTAAATTTATAAAAGTTCAGAGAAGCAGTCTCTCCAGAGAAAGGGTGGATTAGAGAAGAATTCTGGGTAAGGTCACATCTGAGCTGACCAGTGACAGATGAGGATGCCAGATGAAGAGAGAACTCCATCCTATCTGAATTTTCAGGAGGAGAAGCAGGCTGTTACCAAGGCGGAGTGCTCAGCCGTGGGTCGGAGCACGATTCTTTCTGAAGCAGTCTCTTGCCTACCACGTCTGACCAAGTTCCTAGACCCTCTAAGGCTGGATTCTGCTTGGTTTGCAGTGACTGCACAACTCCTGGGTGTGATCCTCCTGGAGTCACTTCCTGTGCAGCTTCTCAGAGAGTGCCATTAGCAGTTTATCTTTGCAGATTTTGTTTCTTGATAGGAATTGGAACCCCACTGATTTTTCAGATGCACTGCCTCAGAAGGTCTGTAGATGGCGATAAAGATGAAACTGCTAGAGAATCTCACCATTGTCCATTATCTATTATGCATTTATTTCCCAGAAGAAAGTTATACTTCCTGATACTGAACATTTGTTGTTGTTTTCCTCATGCGCCAAGCATAGGAAATGCTGCCTCGGCTTCAGGGATGGGGCGAGAGCCTCACCCGGCCCCGACGCTTGCTCTGCCCTGCTCTGCCCCTTATGTCTGTGTGACTTCTTCACACCGACCCCTTCATTTTCTTGGCTGCAAAACAGGAACAGTACTGGACCCATGTACCTCACAAGACTGTTAGCGAAAATCAAAAGAAACAGCATACAGACACATTTTGAAAACTACAAAGCATTATACAATCAAGGCCATAACAGTCACCTTATTTTTTCTAACAGAAAATAGTTTCTGAAACTGCAGTAATTGATACCATGATAAGGTGTAGAGTTAGGGTAACTATGAAGTTTCTATCATGGACTTCATCAGTGAGGCAGAACGATAAGTCATATGGCTATGACCGTTTAATCCTAATACAGACTATTCACTTGATTGACACTAACGCGATTTACTGACAAGACTAGATGATCTTTGAGAATTTGTCAGTCTTAGTACTGAGTGTTGATTGATGATGGGAAATACTGTTTACCCAAGAAAGAGGTCAGCAGTAATTACATTTTGCTATGCTTTGTTTGTTTCTCATTTTCATCTTGGTTGATTGTCTGTTTGAGACAGGGGCTCACTATGTAGTTCAGGCTAGCTTTGAACTCAATGTGTAGCCCAACTTGGCCTTGAACTTGCAGCAGTCCTGCCTCAGCCTCCGATTGCTGGGATTGTATGTGTGTGCCACTACACCTGGCTAAGCTTTTCTTTTAATACACACAGCGTATAAAGCTGTTTTGGAACCTTTCTGGATCACCAGGTACCTACTCTCCTATGTTAAATATTTGATGTGGCAGTGTTCTTAGCTTTTTGTTGTTGTTGCTAGTTTCCTTTTTAATGTTTCTAAATGTTTGCAGAAGAAATTGTTCATGGACATGTTTAAACCATACAGCTTGTAATTTTCCATAAGGAAATACTTGTCCAGGTGCCCATCACGTAATGCTTCACACATACCAGCCACTTCAGTGTCACTTTGAATAAGCAAAACTAAGACATGCACATTACTCCCATGAATGCTTTTAAAAACCCACTCCACTAGCTTCCGATATAATTGGTGGTTTATGATTTCTAGAACTATTCAGAAGTGAAGCAAAAAGTAAGGTGTGGGGTTTCTTTTTTTTTCTAGGTAACTTTAGGTCTTTTATTGTCTAGAAACGTATTACAGAAAAAACTTCAGCTTGCTGACTAAAAGAGAAAGATGTAGTGCAGAGGAAAAATCCTGTTACATGAATCCATTCCTATTTCAACATGTGAAGCTTACGGTTTAGGTTATATAACACTGTGCGCCTTCCCTGTTGATTTCTTTGCTGGTAGCTCTGTGTGCCTTCTTCCTCAGTGGACTTAGTGATGATTCCAGTATATCGTTGGGTTAAAGCGTGTGTGTTTCTTTTCCATTGCCCCTAAATGATGACCTACACCCATTCACAGTCTGTGTTGACTAGCATTTTGTTCCTTAACAGCCACACCCTCCTCTCCTGTTGTAATTTTCTCTTTTTTTAACCAACAATTGTTTTAAACCCTATTTGTGAATGTTGGATTGGTGGATTTGGCCACATCCAGCTGTTTTCTTTTGTCTCCGTGTGTCAGACCACATTTTGCTGTGTGGAAGTAATTGCGTACGAGCTGTTCTGTGTCTCTGAGACTGGGATTAACCTTCCTGCCCCATTCAATTTCCTTTCTAGGTCCAACTGGCCCACCTTCAACACTCCCTCTAAGCACACAGACCTCTAGTGGCAGCTCCACCCTATCCAAGAAGAGGCCTCCTCCCCCACCACCCGGACACAAGAGAACCCTATCCGACCCTCCCAGCCCACTACCTCATGGGCCCCCAAACAAAGGCGCAGTTCCTTGGGGTAAGTTAACCTAAAGTCAGGGCCAAAGCTGCCCAGGGTCAGGACGTGCATGGTGCTCCACTGGTCACTGGACAGTTAGCACATTCAAGAAGTGGACCAAACTGCACGCATACTGAATGAGGACCTGGACATATGTTGGTATGATTATGCCTGCCTCTGAAGGCTAAGAAACATCTCAAGAAATGCGTAGGGCCATTAAAAACTATTACAGCAGTAAATACAGTTGCCCTCAGTATCATCAGGGAATTATTCCAGTCTCCCGTGGGAACTAAAATCTGTAAATGCTCACGTCTCTTATATAAAATGATGTAAAATAGCATAGTATTTGCATATAACCTAATGACCTAAGTATATTACATTCACACATGTCCAACCCATGGCGCACTGTTTTTTTCTTTTTTGAGTAAAGAGGAATTGTCTTGGGTTGCATATAAAATATATAATATAGTTAAAGTATAAGTGACAAAAGCTCCTTTTTTACTTTTTATTATAACATTTTAAAAAGTCTGTACATGTTCTGTGCAGACAGTTTTTTCCTGAGTATTTTTGATCCACAGTTGTTTGAGTCCATGGTTGTGGGACCTGCAGGTACGGAGGGCTGACTGTAACAATAGTGAGGTGCTGAGCATGTCCTAAATCTCATTCAGTCGTAATGGCAGCTCTGTGAGGTAGGTATTAATTGCACTGAAGAGGAAATAAAAGCTCAGAAGAGCTAAGTAATCCATTCTCTCCCAGCAACCAGGATGGTTTTCTCATAAAGTATAAATCAGGCCATGGTCACACTTCCCTTAACACCCTTTGACGATTTCCTGCTGAGCTTCAGCTAATGCCAGTTCTGTACACCAGGGGCCAAGAGGGCCTCACATACAGATCTCTCGTCACTGCTCTTGCCCTCACCTCCTTCAGCTCCTGGCTGCCCTGCTCCTTCCCTCCTCAGAGGACCTGCCACTCCCAGCACTGTCTTGTTCCTTGAAAGGCTGGCTTCCTGTCACCGCTCAGTTCTCATCCTGCATGTTTGTCTCCCCAGCCCTCGTCTCTAAAGGAGTTCGTTTTCTCTCGAGCTACTTGTCTGAGTTGAGGACTACTGTATTTACCTGTCTGTGTCCCCACTGGAACGTACACTCCATGAAGCAGCTCCCTTGTCTGTCCTGTTGTCGCCTGTGTTTGTACTACCTGGAATCACGCCTAGCACACAGTGAATGTTAACATTGGATAATAACCTTTCCAAAAACACTAGTTCAATCAGTTCAGTGACAATGACTGCAAGTGACAAATTCCTATCGATAACATTTCCGTAATCCCTGCCAGCGTACTAGTAGTATCCCTCCTATGCAGGCAGGGCCGCCCCATCGCCAGCAGGGTCCTGGCCCCTGCCTGACACACAGAGAAGCCCCGCTGAATGGGTGTGCTGCTCTGCGTGTGTCACTTCTTCCTACCAGTGAGCTTCGCAGTGGCTTTTTGTAGAATTGTGTTTATCGTGTAGATAGATAGTTCAGCTTAATGCTTTTAAATACTTTCTCAAAAGCCTATCTCAAGTGTCAGGAGTTCGTCGAGGTTTTGGGAAAAAACATACTATCCGCTAAACAGATGGGCACACCTGTTAGCTGTCTGGCCCTGACACCCTGGGATGTGTGTATACACAAATGTGTCTTTGTTTAGCCACGTGTTCTTCAGTTCAGCAGGCATATTGAGAGAACCTGCTGAGTGTGCTGCTTGGGCCTTCTCAGGTGTGTGCTTGCGGAGTTCGTGGTGCAGTGGAGAACCAGAGGAGTGAACAGCATGTGTGCTTTTCCTTGTCCTTGTGCCCATGTGGACCACACACTGTGGAAGTGCTGGAAAATAGTGTCAGACTGCATGAGAAAGCCAGCAGAGGTTTCAGAGGAGTGCACACGTAAGAGTGGTGTTAATCAGTTCCCTGGAAAAGCAAGCAAGGCGGGAGGAATGAAAGCATAAAGGCATGTACATACCTAAGTACCAAGGTTGTCCTAGGTGTTTTTAGGGGCTGCATTCCCATGACTTCCAGGCTCCCCAAATCTGTCACAAAGAATTACCCTAAAAAACTGAAAGTCACAAGTTTCCACCGTGCATGGTGGTGCACGCCTATAATCCCACCACTCAGGAGGCTGAGACAGGAGGATTGCCATGAGTTTGAAGTCAGCCTGAGTTACGTAGTGAGTTCAAGGCCAGGCTAAACAGCATATGTAGCGAGACCTTGTCTCAAAAGTCACAGGTTTTCTATATAGACTTCATATCACAAATTAACCTTCTTTCCAAATTGCACTGGATGTTGGTCCTCTTGTTTAATTGGTTTTCTTCCTGTGTAATTCATAGTGCCTGTATTTATTCCTCTTATAGAGACTCCAGCATTCTTAAATATCTTCTCCAAATTTCTTTTTCTGAGTTGAAATTCATAACTCCCTGAGGTGTCCTCTTTCATTTCACTCAGGAGCGATACTGGCACTGGGCCTTTCTTTCTCATCTTCATTGTTGGTAGCTTTGGGGCCTTTTTCACTAAGAAATAAGTTGTTACCACTTTGTGAAAATTATTACCTCCCTAACAGTCAGCAGGGAGCATGAAAGCCTTGCACAGATGTGGACCTCAGCAGCCATTGTGAGCCCCTCAAGGCAGCCCCTACAACAGAACTCAAAGTTTGTCCTCAGCAGAAGTGACACCCTTCCACTTAATGTGGGTTTGGTGACCATTTACAAACAGCTCCAAATGTTAATTCTGGACTTCTCAAGGCCGTTACTTGTGTGTGGTCTGTGTGCAGGTGGATGCAGCTGCTGATACAGGTACGTAATGGGCTGTGTGTGGACACAGCTGGTCGTCTCACCAGCAGAGTACACTTGTTCTGATCCTGATCTCCTGATCTCATGCTCTGTGTTACACAGTCACTGTGTAGTGGTTCTGAGCCATGCCTCCTGCTGCTATTGTGTTCTAGAAGCCAAGTGCGGGAGTCAGGCTGAGCACCAGTCAGGAACTGAGGAAATCAGCCTCCCTGGTCCTTTCGGCTTCCCCCGTGTACCCCTCTTGCCAGAGCTCTCATGTTCCCCTCAATCTACCATGGCTTAGCCCATCGAGACAAGATAGAGACGAGGGCCTTTGGACTACCATTGCTCTGGGCTAGACACAGGCCTCCATCTGCCCCAGGCATGGGATGAGTCTGTCATACTGAAGTACAGGAAGTGCCCAGACTACATTGTGGCCTCTCAAATCTGAGCCTGTAGTCCATGATGTCTTCATCCTAGAGTATTCTTCTCTCTGTTCATTTGTGTTGAATGTTTCTGAAACTGCTTTTGCCTATCTTTTAAAGAAATGCCTGATACAGTTGTTCAGGGTCTACTTGAATTTCTTATAGTAGTCTCTTCATCTCACAGTCTTTAATGTTGGAAGGCTAACACAGAAGGGTTATGATTTTGAAGCCAGCTTAATGAGACCTCAAAAAAAGAAACAGCTGGATGTGATGCTGCCTGCCTGTAATCCAAGCAGTGGGGCTAAAGCAGGAGGATCCATGAGTTTGAGGCCAGACTAGGCTGCATAGTGAGTTCAAGGCCAGCCTAGCTTACATACACAGCAAGACCCCATCTCAAATTAAAAAAAGAAAGAAAAGAAATTGCTAACTTGCCTACTTTGACGTAGACTCCTTTTCCTAATAGTCACATACACGAGTTCCAGGCTTAAAACTTGATATCGTTAGCTGGTCTGTTTCAACCTCTTCTAGTGAGGCCTTTGGCCTCTAAAGATTCACATCCATCCCACATGCAAGATGCATTCCCAGTATCCCCAGAAGTCTCAGCTCTGCATCTTGGCCTGTTCTTTTTGGTCTACAGAGAAGATGCTGCCAGCCCTCCAGCCAGCCATACAGCTAGCACTGTCATCTCCCCCATGACCTGCCTGCACTAGCAGTGCCTCTTCAGCAGAGGAGAAGTCTGATCTGTCACACTTGGAAGTTTGTACCTGTGATGGGTTCTCCTGCCACATTCCTGCTTCTGGACTCAGCGTCTCTGGCATTGAGTTCATGTGCAGAGTGGCTGTGACCGACAGGCCTTGCCTCCATAGATGTCCATACTTGCTCTGTGCTGACTATTAGTCCCAGCCAGTCCCCCATGCTGGCCTTTAAGAAGGAGGTGGCAGGCAGTTGAAGGAGGTGGAGTTTGAGTTTGGTCTTGTAAAGTGAGTGGAATAGGCAGGGACTTGATATTGAGATGTATGGAAACAGGACCAAGAGTGCATGCTATAATGCATCTCCTTCACAGAAGGCCCCGCTTTCTTCATGACAGAGGCTCTTCTCTCAAATAGCGTTTTGTACCTTCAATTTCTTGATGCAGCTCTATGGCTGGTAGGAGAAAAGGAAAATGCCTGTTAACCACTTAGAAGATTTAGAGAAAAGCACTACACATGCTTTTTTTGTTGTTGTTTGTTTTTGTCTTTTTGAGACAGGGTCTCACTATGCAGTTCAGGCTGGCCTTGAGCTCACTTTGTAGCCCAGACTGGTCTCGACCTCACAATGATCCTCCTGCCTCAGCCTCCCGAGTGCTGGGATTACAGGCGTGCGCCACCACGCCCGGTATTTTATAAGGCGAGCACAAGTGCTGAGCAACATGCTGAGCACTTCTCATGGATTAACTCACCTGACTCTAGACCACAGTCCACAAAGATAGATGCTGGCCCTGGCCTGTGGGAGACCAGGCTTAGCAGGGTCCAGCAGCTTGCCGCAGTTCTCACAGATGCCACCCGGGGACCAGAATTTGTCTCAGCCTGTGTGGCTGGGAACCTGCAGTCCTCACCCTGTCCACACACTGCCTTCTGCCACATGTGATGGCCCTGGGCTCAGAAAAGCCAGGCAAGTAAGGCCACTCCTCCTCTCAACAGTTGTTTGTATGCCCAGAGGCTGAGGTGTAGAGGAGGTGCTGTGTTAGGCACAGATGACCCAGTAAGCAGCACTTGCTGTGCAGGTGGTGCCTCATTGACCCCCTGCAGCAAGGTGCCCTAGAGTACAGTTCCAGCCTTGCCTAAATGGGGAGGGCCACTCTAGGCTTTGTATCTGCAAGAACTACAATATCCACAGTGCCCCAAGTAGCCCAGGCCTCTCGTTACTGAAGTCCCACTTCGTGATGGCTTCAGCAGTCAGTCTCGGGAGACCTCTGAGGCAAGCTTTGAATGAAAAAATCAACTGATGGGCAGATTTGAGTTTGTGGGGACTTTAGATTTTAAAGTGACATTTCATTAAACCTCCCCCCTTTTTAATAACCTACATTAAACCGACCAACTCACATTTTAACAGTTTAAATTATAAGGAAATGAGGACAAAGGAAAGAATAAAAGTAGCGGAGTTAGATAAAGTCCAGGAGTGTGATCTGTTCTCAAAATTCATGACTTAAAGTCATATACCAGGCCTGAAAGTGGACCATGGATTTGGCCCAAGGGTCTTAGAGCAAAGAACAAAGAAGAAATACAACTAACCATCAAGTTTATGGTAGGTATGAGATTAATCTTTTTTCTGCCGGGGCATGGTGGCGCACACCTGTAATCCCAGCACTCAGGAGGCTGAGGCAGGAGGATCATTGCGAGTTTGAGGCCAGCCTGGGCTACAAAGTGATCTCAAGGTCAGCCTGAACTGCATAGTGAGACCCTGTCTCAAAAATACCAAAAAAAAGAGATTAATCTTTTTCTCATACCTGAGATTCTTGGAATTAATAACAGAGTCATTCACCACGGGGCCTCCACCCTGCATTTAGAGAAGTGTGTGCAGTGCACATCAAGGGAGACCCTGCATGGCACTAAGTGGTCATTCCAGAAGGCCAAAGTCTGACGCAGGCTCTACAGATTACTGCCTGAGTCACCTCTGGGGATGACATTCCTCACCTTAGCCACTGGGATTTAAAACCATGTAAGCATTTGTTTTCATGTGAATCTGATATATTTTTCATGTGTTTTTGTTGAGCCTTCAGAGCCATGCTAAAAAATAGGGACTGTTGTTGTCTGCAGTTTACTGATGAGCACATTGAAGCACAGAGAAATGAAGCATTGCATGTACCGTAAATCCAATAACTCCATAACTGGGGTTTGAACCCATTTCTGCTTGTGTGATTCCTATCCTCTGCTTTTTCACAAACTTTCGGTCTGCAGCTTCTGAGCGGCAGTGTCAGGGACCAAGAGTCTCGGCCATAGTTTCTTCAGCTGCCTGCCTAATATCTGTCTACAGCCCTCTTATCCACATTTATGGTATATCAAGGGCCTTTTCCAAATTGCTTGGAGAGAAACAAAAGGATTGAGTTGCTCCTATGCTTTTGTTCCTCAGTCTTCTCTTTCTAGTAATGTCTTACTTGCAGAATTTTTTCTATGCCACACTTTTCCCACAGGGCACAGCAGGTGGCCTCAGCCTAGCTCTGAGAAAGACAGGGTCCTAGTCAGCTGAGCACAGATCCCTTCCCAGTCAGGTATGAGAAATCACACTGCGGCAGAGAAGCTGAGGGGGCAGCGCTGTTGGTTGTACCCCATAATGGGCCAGACATAGTGCTAGAAAACGGGGCTGCAGAGTTTAGAGAACCTGCTCGTGAGGTAAATTGGCATCATTTCCATTACATCTCATTAGAGAGCTATAAAGAATAACTACCATTTGTTCATGCTTCTTGGGGATCAGCCCTCTGCCCCAAAGTCCATAGTTACCACTTCTGCAGCCATCTAGTACAGAGGGTATAATTACTATCCGCATTGTATAGATGGAGGTGTAGCAGAGCAAGCAGTGTGCTCCAAGCTCATGCCCACAGGTCATGGTACAGCTGGAATTCAGAACTAGCTTGTCTCCTCTGAAATTGGCACCCTTAGCTATTCCCAAGAAGAAGGAAGGAGTGGTCAGAGGATTCTGGGGAAACAACTTTGGAGATATTCTTTGAATGTTGTTTACTAATTCACTAGGAGCAGTAGGAGACAGACATCACAGGAAAAGAACAGAGAAACAAGGTTACAGAAGCATAAAAACATTCTCTGGGAAGTGACAAGTCACTCTGAGAGACTTAAGGACAAGATTAAATCCGAACTCTGGACTTTGGGGCCTGTGAGCACGAGCAGCAGCACCCATGTGGTGACTCGCCTGTGCGACAGCAAAGCCTGCAGCCTCAGCCTGCTGGCGTTGAGTTGATTTGTGCATAACTGGGTTAATAGCCATTTGTTTGAAGTGCTGCTGTTTTCTGCCTGGAAGTAAGGAATTAGTGGATGCAACAGTTTATTCCCCAAACATTTGGATTGCTCGACTCAAGTCTGAAGTACTGTGTAAGGTCTCTATCTAGCCCTATAGACTCAGCATTGAGCATGGTGCTAGAGAGAAATGCCTGCCGTAAGGGAAATCACAGCTCAAGATTTCATAAGAAGTACCAGAGAAGTCCTCAGACCCCACACTGTAAGATCATGGAAATACATGGATCACTGGAAGGACTGTCTTACTAGAACTAACTTTGAAAGTCTTTGGCGCTGGTAATGCCAACTTGCTTGTTTCTTGATGAACATTCTGTCCAGAAGATCCAGTCTCAGCACCCTGTTAAGGTGCAGTACAACTTGGGAGGATAGAATTTGGGAATTCAGAGCCCAAGTGCTAGAGCTGGGCTGCTGGGTTTATATCCTAGTTCTGGCCCTAACCAGCAGCTCCACCCTGGGCAAGTTTCTTTGACTTTCTGCCTGTCTCTTCATCTGTAAAATGGGAGAAGTAATTACTTCTCAAATGCAAAATTACCTGGAGGTGCTCGGCACTATACTTTGCATATAATAAGTGCTCAGTAAACGGTAGTTCTTTTTTTTTTTTTTGGTTTTTCTCCGGTACCGGGAACCGAACTCACGACCTTGCGCTTGTCAGGCAGGCGCTTTGCCGCTGAGCTAAATCCCCAGCCCCGGTAGTTCTTAATGTTACTTCAGGGCAACATGAGAGGTCATGAAGAGCACATAAGTTTGTGGTCAGAACTTCTACGTGTATCATTTGGTCAAGGGGCCTTCAGCCATTCATGTACTTATCCTTATTTGCCTACCTTTCAAAGGGAGATTAAAATGCCAGTCTTCTGGGATTCTGAGGAAGGCTGTTCAAACAGATATAAAAGCATTTAGGTAGCTGTCAGAGCTGATGAGTATCCATGCAGAACATCATGGAATGAGGCTTAGCATATAATCTCCTGATTCTCCAAGATAGCTGGTTCCCTAGGACCCCAACACCTCCCTGCAATCCTCCTGCTGGATGGTCACAAGAAAACCCACTCTTACTCTAACCTAATTTCCACATTTTGAGTAAAGCACACTGAAATCCACTTGTATGCCTCTAGTTTTTGCCACTGTCCCACTAGAAAGTTCTTCCACAGATGTTCTTCAAGGAAGACCTCCTCTACCCTCTACTAACTTGGATTTTAGACACCATTTCCTCTTCATTTTAACAGCAATCAGTCTGATTAAATGTTCGCTTTGTTCTGCATTACTATATAGTTCCTGTAAGACTGAGTGCTGTGAGAGCAATGGCTTCTGCTTTTGTGTCTACTACTCCACTTTCCGACCCAACATGGGAATGAACAAGTCCACAGTGGCTGAGGGGACGTTCCGGTCAGCAATACCCTTCCAGTAGTGTCCATGCGTGTGACTTCAGCCCTCTGAGTCCTCTTTCTGGGCATTGGTCTCAGCATCTAGCCTCTGGGCCAAGAACAAGGCATTCAGTGTTCTGTCTGTGCCTCTGGGCCGAGGACAAGATCCTGAGTGAATGGGACATCACAGCTTCAGTGATCTTAGAAGCCTTTTCAAGGAGTGGGCTGCTTACCTCTCTGACTTGCTAGCAATAAAAGCATCAGAGCCCAATGGTACTTAATTTCTGTGACATTTCAATGCCCCCAGTGCATGGCATATTGGCTTAAGTCTTTTAAATGCTGTTCTCAAGGCTGAGGCGTACTGTTCCTCCCATATCCATACATGGCTGTTGGAAGACGCAACCTTCAACTTTTCATTTTCTTTGTAGGTAACGATGTGGGTCCATCATCTTCAAGTAAGACCACAAACAAGTTTGAAGGGCTGTCTCAGCAATCCAGGTGAGCCATCTTAGCGCTTTCTCTCCTACCTGGCTCAGACTTGCTGTAGACAGATTTACAGAAGTGGGCTTTAGCTCGTCCCCAGTTCTACCCAAGCGTATGAGCCACGGTGCAGTTCGTGAGAAAGCGAATGTTAGCTGGCAGCTGCAGTGGACATCATCACCCGGCACAGGTCTGTGGCCGCACAGCCCTCTCTTTCCCTGACAGTGGACACTGGCCTCACTGCCCTGCTGGTCCCGGAGCCTACACTGATCTCTGACAAAACCTCCTTCAGAATGAGTTTGGGTTTTTATTTTTGCTGGTTTAATTAAGTGATTTTGTTTTGCTACTTCCCCTCTTGACCCTTTCGCAGACCTGAGAATGAAAAGAAGCTCCTCAGGGAAATATGATACCCCAGAGATTTCCAAGTATTGAAAGAAAGAAAAAGTGACTGCTCCCAGGTTTCCCGTTCGTAAGATTTTTCCAGCTGGGCCGTAAATAGTGTTTACACCTCCCTCTTCTCCCAGAATGAGGTACTTTGGGAAATCCTCCAAGGGCAGTCTTCATCCAGCCCTCCCCCAAAGGGTTTTCACTGAGGTGCAGTCCTGGTAAGGACATGAGCCACTTCCAGATTAGAACCTCAGGGAAAAAGAAGCAGCTGCTATGTGGGGTCCCCTTTCTAGAGTTTATCTAAGCCGAGGAAGTTGTTTCTTCCAGGGCTGCTGTCTGTCTTACCCTCTGCAAGCCTGTGGGTTAGACCCCAATTACTGTCATCCTCAGTTTCACAGATGAGGCCCAACATGCAGCCTAGGTGCAGCCTAGGTGTCCCAGCTGGGTCTCCAGGCTGCTGGTTCTCCATGCGCTGCTCTGTGTCCTCCCTGCCCTCTGCTTTCTTCTCAGCTGGTCCTCCCTCTGCCCTCTTTGAGGACCCATAAAACTGGTGTCTTCCACAGTGGGGAGTGACACACAGAATGCACTTATAGAATTTTTTTTTTTTTTTTAAATACAGTCTCACTGTGTAGCACAGGCTCACCTTGAACTACCTTATATAGCCCAGTCTGGCCTCAAACTCCCAGTGATAATCCTGCTTCAGCCTCCCAAGGCCTGGGATTAAAGGTGTGCACCACCACACCCAGCTCACAGGATATTTTTAAACAGGAACTGGAGATACAACTCAGTGGTGGGACACTTACGTAGTATGCGTGAGACCCTGCTTCAACCCATCATGGCAAAAAAAAAACAAAAAAACATGGTTTTTTAATATTTTTAAATAGGATCAAGCTGATCACTGATGATTTGCTGAGCTTTTGTTGCCCCGCCCACATGTGCGCATCCACAGCACAGATAGCACCGCCCTGGCGGGGCCCTCGTGCTCATCCCCATGGGAAGAAGCGGATGCAGTGTTAAGCCCAGGGCTTCTGTGCAAGGAATTTCTGAACCTCTGGGCCAGGGGTGGCGAACCTGTGGCACATGTGCTGCAGCAGGTCATTATCACTGAAAGCTGCAAAAGGTCCGTCACTACTGCTCTAGGCCTGGTGCTAGTGAGGTGGCCACAAGTGACCGTAGGCCACACTCACAGCAGGGATTGGTAGCCAGGCCTCGAGAAGCTGCTGATGCAGAACGTGAGGGGCACAACCAGAAATGTTGGCAGCAAAGCCCTCCTGCATGTGCTCTTTCTGTTCCTTTAGTGGCTCTGTCTCAGCAGCGTTTCCCTCCCATCCCCCACAGGTATGAGGGCTGCCTGTGAGCCGAGGGAAGGGCTGTAAGGCCCAGGATGGCCGAGGGCCTGGACCCAAGATGGGAGCGCATACCTCTTTAACCTTTTTCCTGTGACCCCCTGTGTGTGGCTGGTGGTTGCCTTTTCCTTTCCTTTAAATGCAGTTAGGGTCGAAAGAAGAAAAAGCAGTCAACTCCTAGGACATTAAGGACAGACAGGAAAGGAGGCATGAAATCATAAAAGGGATTCTCAGTAGATGGAGCTCTAATCCTTGACCGCTTTCCCTCTTAGGTATGTGGGGCTCCTGGTGTTCTCTGAGGATCCTTACAGGCTCTTGTCAAAGGGAAGTAGTGGCTTTCAGCTCATAGAGGACACATTTGATTATTTAGATCACATGGTGCAGGTTTCTATTCCAGGGACTGAGGCGTTTTTTCCCCTGTTCATTTACATGTCTTCCAAAAGGAGGCCACTGCCCGGCAGTGCCAGGAGCCTGAGAACCCCAGCTGTCTGTGCTGGTTAGAGGAGGAAGTGAGAGCTCAGGGCCCCACAGAACAGGGCTGAGTTTCCGCTTCCACCACCAAATGGCCTGGGCCTTCTGCCAGCCAGTGATGTCTGCACTCTTCCGTTTCCCTGTCTGAGCCGGGGCGACGGGCCTGCTTCGTGGAATCACGAGTCATGGGGTCCTGTGTGTACCTCACCGTGCCGAGTGCCCCGTGTACATACGTCGGAGTGGCTTTAGCTCTGTCATTACTAGGGATTTGTTTCTCACCCTCACTCTGTTCCTCTCCAGCAAGGCAAACAGAGATACAAAGTATAGACTGTAATATTTTGTTAAATAAATTGTGAAAGGACCATTTCAATAATTCCATGAAAAGTAGATCACTGTTGCCATTTTAGCTGTTATAGATCCTAAATTGCTGTTATTTATCAAACAGCACCAGTTCTGCGAAGACTGCCCTTGGCCCAAGAGTTCTTCCTAAACTACCTCAGAAAGGTAAGATGCCTCATTTTCATACTCATCATTCGAGCAAAGTGTCACTGTGTCCTCCCAGGGGACATAGGTCTCTCTTGTTCACTGATCTATTCCAAATGCCTAGAGCAGCACCTGGCACTTCCTGGATGCTCAATAAAAACTTGTTAAGTAGAGAACGTTATTTGTAAACTCCAGACATGTGATTAGCAAACCGTGATTGTACTTTTCCTAAAAAACAACCCCCTTGAGAAGACACTTGGTTATGATCCCCAGTACCATTCTCTCCCCGCATGTACATGCGGTCCGGGAGACCTGGAACCAGTGGTGACTGTTACGCTTTCTGGCTGTGACCTCGGGCAAGTGATGAGAGAGCTTCCCGCTGCTTGTACTCCTCATCTGTAAGGTGGGAAAGAACAGCCTGCTACACAGGCATTTGTGAGAAAAGCATGAAGTCCTGCTCCAGAAAGCTCCTAGCCAGTAGGTAGCCAAGGAATCCACCCCTGGCATGGCACCTGTCACGCTGAGGAGAGACACCTGTGCTTTGCAGGATAGAGAAACAGTGTCTGTAAGTGCTGCTGTGTTCCCAAGCAGCGAGACTCAGCTTTTTCACCTAGTCTTCCTCACCTCTGTCCGAGCTTTGCACTTACAAAAGTAGAGTATCAGTAGCCAGACACGGTGGCACATGCCTGTAATCCCAGCACTTGGGGATCTGAGGCAGGAGGATCTCCATGAGTTCAAGGCCAACCTGAGCTACATAGTGAGCTTGAAGCTGGCCTGAACTATGGAGTAAGACCCTGCCTTAAAAAAAAAAAAAAGTATCAATCTTTGTACACAAAAAATGATAGTGATGATAGTGCAGAGCCACGCCTTGCCTTTAGAGTTATCAGACACCTCAGAGCACCTACTTCACTCTGTCCTTGTGAAACCAGAGACCAGTGAGTCTCAGACCTGTGTGCGGCTCAGAGGAACTCCGATCTGCTGTGTGGGTTTCTGACACCAGCAGCCAGACGTCTGACACCAGCCCAGCACTCTGTGGCCTAGTTGAAGGAGAAGTCAGTATAGGGCTTAGTGTAGGGAAATTGAAACCCACTGCCCTGCAAGCCACCTCAGCCCAGGGGCACATTTGGAAGAGCAGTGGTACATGGGACCAGGCCGTTAGGTGAGGAGGCCCCCGGTGGATGCTGACTCCTGTGGAGCAGGAAGGCAGGCTTCCCCAGCACTTGCCAAGTTTGATTTAGGGCACTTCTGGTTTGGTACTGACTATTTTTCACCTCTGCCCATAGTGCTATCCTGATCTCAGACAAGTTTGAGCCCCGTTTCCCAGGCACTGTTCCCCCATCTAAAGTCTGCCGCACATCACTCACATGCACGACTGTCCCTCCTCTACCTGACTCACGCTCATTGCCTGTAACACTCAGAACCCAGGGGTCCTCAGTCCCACTAGGACCCACCTGTGACTGCTGCCACCTGCTCCCTGTCCTCGTGCTCTTTATGGCTGCCCATTTCCTCTGTCCCGGCCCAGCGCATCCCCAGAAGCACACCCACGGTCCACCTCACCGTGCCCCCCGGGCTGTGCTCTGCTCTCTTGAGCAAGCTGGCGTCTGCTCTGACAGCTGGACCGGCGGGCAGCAGTATCATTCGCCTGACCATAACAGCATTGTGCTGTGCTCTGCTGCTGCCCCACCTGGCCCTTCATACCACCCTCTTCTCAGGAGGGCTTGGTGTCTGCTCTGTGCAAGCCAGGACATATGCCCACCCTCCGGCACCTTGCGCCCTTCCTACGTGGTGGCCCGTGACCTGGAAGGAGAAGCCTGCACCTCGCCCAGCAGGGCAGCACTCCGACCCATGCCCTCCCTCGTGTCATACTCTGTTCTCTCTCCGCTCATCAGAATGCGGGTTGCTGTCCGACCTCCCCATCTTGACGTGTGTCCCTCTCATCACTGCCCTCTGCTTTGCACCAGTGATGGCCAGCCTTTGAGAATCTCAACAGTAATACACAGCCGGCTACAGCACATGTGCCATAGGTTCACCACCACTGGTTACACCCACTTTCTTTGTGTAAATACTTTTACAATTTGAATGTTTCCCATAATAAACTTACACAGGAATCTCCACAACACTCTGGGAGGCTGAGGCAGAAGGATCCAAAGTTCAACCCCAGCCTGAACAACTAAATGAGACCTGGTCTTTAAAATTTTTTAGAGGGGCTGGATATGTAACTAAGTGTGAAGGCCCTGAGTTCAAGACACAAGGTTCCACAAGGGAGGAACACACAGAAAAGTGGATTCCAGCCTCTTCTCCCAGGTAAATTCATCATCCATCTCCAACAGTGATTAGTTTATACTTGATCCTGGTGGTTATTTACCTAGCTATCCGCCTCTAACAGTTCTGGGGGTAGAGCACCTCAGGTTTGAGCCCTAGCCTCACAAACAAAAAAAGCAAACCGGTCTATCCTTCTGGAGCTCCAAGTTTTTCTGGCAGGGCCCTGGTGTGTGCAGCATCACACAGCCAGCAGAAGGGAAGCGCACACATCTGTGTGGCCTGTCTGTCTCTTCTCTTCTTGTGCTGGGGCTTGAACTTAGAGCCTTCGCACTGAGGTCTATCACTAGCCCTTTTTATTTTGAGACAGGATCGTACTAAGTTGTCAACCCTGGGCTCAAACTTTTGACCCTTCTGCCTCAGTGTCCAGAATGCTGGGATTGTAGGCTGCATCAGTATACCCATGTCCCTCTTTTCTTCAAAATGTAACCAGGATTCAATCATGAGGGGTCCATCCAATGCCTTATCTAATCTCAGTCACCTCCCGCATACCTCATCCCTAAACAGTGTGGATTGTTTCTGTTTCACACACAGGGTCATATCTGAGCACGTAGAGCTTTGCAGCAGACAGTACTACCCTGCACATCTCTCTCATTGCAGAAACTGGGTTATTTGTCCCACAGGTCTTCCAGCCTGTATTTTGCTCTTTGCACACCCATGTGTCTCCAGGCTGCCTGTCAGTTGAGTAGACACAGGGAGTGTTTGGGGAAAGCACTCGCTTGGTGATGATGCGTCCCACCAGGAGGTGCACACATCTGACTGTCTTCATGGGAAGGTCACCGCTGCTAGTGCTCGCAGCTGGGACACAGTCACCCGTGCACTCCTCTGTCCCTCCCAGGGCTGTGATCAGCCTCAGCCTGGGCTTATGTGGCACCTCTACAGCTCTACACACAGCTTCTCACTAGCACGCCTCGCCTGGAGACCACGCCATTCATTCTCCCAGCAGGTATCCTTCAACACAGCCTTCACCCTTTCTTCCCTGTGTCCTCAGCCTTGAGCTATTGGGATGCTGCAGGTGACAGCCCAGGCCACCTCTGACATTCTCCAGGATGATTCCTGTAACCAGGGTGGCCGGTGACTTGCGTATTTCAGGGCTTGGGGCACCCAGCACTTACACTTTCTACTCCCCCATTAAGTATGGCTCCAGCAAGAACTCTCCAGCTTCACTGCCCCAGGGAATCCCCTGGTGTATTCCTCCTTGTTCCTGCCCTTGGATGGTAGTTTGCCCAAATCAGATCAGTTTTTAGAGAAGCCAGACTAGTCTCATTTCAGTTTTTGAGCCAAGCCACATGAGCTGGGTGTCCTTGAGTGTGACTTCGAGATATGTGGCTGAGCAGGCCGTGAACAGAGCAGTGCCCAGGACAGCTTGCTGTGACCTGTTGTTCACAACACTGTGGTTAATCCCTGTCTGTCTGGCTGTCTGTCTTCCCTGGTGCTTGAGATTGAATGTAGAGCATTCACACTGAGCTACGTATTAAGCCCTATTTTTTATTTTGAAACTGGGTCTCATTAAGTTGCCCAGTCCTCCTGCCTCAGCCTCCCAGGGTACTGAGATTGTAAGCATGTGTCACCATGCCCAGCTTTCTGTTCTTCTAAAGATGTTTTTCTAAATCTGTTGTGTTTTTAAGATAAAATGCTTATTTGAGTCACACTATGTGCCTTTGTCAGCTGTTTCCTCACTGAGCATATGCTATGCCAGGACCGGAGCTATGAAAATAGGAATCTTGGCCTCAAGGAGCCCTATTTAATAGGAATGATAGTATTACTCTTAAGAAAAACAGCCTGTCAGTTCCTGTCCATAAATTCTTCACGTAGATTATATAATCTTTAGGGCAGTCCTTTGAGGTAGTTTCAGAGATAAGGACGTTGAAGCACAGAAAGTTCGCACAATTTGCCCAAGGTCACACAGCTGTGCATGGTGGAGCTCAGACAGAGACGTTGTGAGTGGCGCAGGTGTCCTCATGAACTGCGCGGAGAGCCACGGGACAGGTTCCAAGGTTTGCAGCATTGCCTAAGCATGGAGTACTAGGCAGCTGTTAAAGAGAAATGAGGAACTTAGAAACTCCTGAGCATATTAAGTGCAGAAAAACAAAATTTCTAACAGTGTGTTACTGCAGTGTACGTATTAGGACCCACATACTGTTTTTAAATGATACGTTCATAAGTGCAGGTACATGTATCACCAGAATGTAACACATTACCAGTGAAGATGGGTATCAGGAAACTTTTTGCTTATTATAGCCTGCATGAATCATGCAAAATAAAGGGAATTAAATACGATACAACTATAGAATAGAATGTTCCTTCAAAATTACATTTGTACTAATAAAGAAATGTAATAACAGGGTAAACACTCTGCTAAAATAGCACATGGAGTTAGATCTATAGAAATTACATAGCAAAATCAAGAAGGGAAATATATCAATATGAAAAGTGACTACACTTGGATGGAAGGTAGGCTTATGGAAAAGGTTGTTGTTGTTGTTTTTCCTAATGCAGGGTCTCACTGTGTAGTGTAGGTTGGCCTTCAACTTGCTTATGTAGCCTGGGTTGGCCTCAAGCTGATGGTGATCCTCCTGCCTTAGCCTCCCAAGTGCTGGGATTATAGGTGTACACCACCATGCCCAGCTTTTTGAAAAGTTTTAACTGTACATTCTGGTTTTCTGCAAACTGTATTATGTTTGCTTTTATAAAAATTTTCTTACATAATTGAAGCATAAAATCATGAATTATTGTATAAGCACCTCCTGGCTTCAGCCCTGACCTTGTTAGAAGCAGGCCTGCTGGGGCGGGCCCCCAAGCCGACCATTCCAAGTTTGCACTGGGGATGGCTTTCCTCCCGGTGCCTAGGCTCGCTCAGGTGACCGTGACAAGAGCAGACCTGTTTCCCCTGCACCTCCTGTTCAATGACTGCCCTCTCTGTGATTGTCCCTGCAGTGGCACTAAGGAAAACAGAAACGAGCCATCATCTCTCCCTAGACAAAGCCAACATCCCACCTGAGATTTTTCAGAAATCATCACAAGTGGCAGAGTTACCACAAAAGCCACCACCAGGAGACCTTCCCCCAAAACCCACAGAACTGGCCCCCAAGCCCCAGATGGGAGATTTGCCACCTAGACCTGGAGAGCTTCCCCCCAAGCCACAGCTGGGCGACCTGCCACCCAAGCCCCAGCTCTCAGACTTACCTCCCAAGCCACAAATGAAGGACCTGCCCCCCAAACCACAGCTGGGAGACCTGCTGGCAAAATCCCAGGCTGGTGACATCTCACCCAAGACTCAACAGCCCTCCGAGGTCACACAGAAGCCACACCCCGTGGATCTGTCCCCGAATGTGCAGTCCAGAGATGCCATCCAGAAGCAGGCGTCAGAAGACTCCAACGACCTCACGCCCACTCTGCCTGTACCACTGCCCAGAAAGATCAATACGGTGGGTGGGCACCCATGTCGGCTCTGCAGGCCTCTGCGGCACTGTACAGGTTGGCGGGAGGAGGGGGCTGCTCCAGCCTAAAGCAAGAAAACGTGGGTGCTTGTTCCCTGAGCTGGCTGCACTGGCGCTCTGGTTCAAGTGTGGTGATGGAGCCTGGTGGTTATGAAAACAGGCTTCGGACTCCCAGGCACCTTCCAAACCTGGCACTGGTGCCTGGTGCAACTGCACGGCCATGGCAAATCCATACTTTCATGTACAAAAAAGGAGTTGATCTAGTAATCTACCCCATCATAAATTAACACATTATGGCCCCTCTGAATTCCTCAGAGTCAGCGCAGAGATAAAAAATCTGCTGGTGCCACAGTTTTGCCAGGCTTCCCAGACCCCTACCCACCCTTCAGCACACTGCAGATGGAGGAGAGGGTCCCTCAGGATCAAGGAAGGACCCCAGGGGCAGAGAGGGAGTCACTTGAATGAAATCACTTAAGGAGACAGCCTGCTTCTTTATTGCTAATTATTTAATTAGCTGAGTGTTAAAAGTATATTTTAGAAGGTGATGTCTTTTACTTCTGTCTCCCTCGTTGGAACTGGAATGAGGAAGTTCCAGCAAAGAACTGGAAACCCAGCCAATAACACCCAAGTCAAAACTGGTCAGAAATCACAGCTGTTTTGGGAACACTGCAGAATCCTCCCAACCCAGGCTGATCCTGCTGGGTTTAACCAGCATGTCCTGACCTGCTGTTTTGCATGAGGGGACTGAGAAATTTGTTTATGCTGCACATTCAGTATGCAGAAGCTGCACATTTTGCTTTACATCATGTTTCCTAAAAACATTTTTAGACTCTGCTGTCATCTCTGCAAGTTGGTGCTGCCAGTGGAGGAGGGTAGGGCCTCCTTGCTTGCTCTCTGGTGGAAGAAACATGGTGAGGCCTCATCCCTAACTGGGGGATCAGGCTGGTGCTAGTGGAGGAAGGGCTCTCATCCCTTGAGAGCACACAGTACCCTCGGCTCCTGGCAGATGTTCCTACCACTGTGCACATGTACACACATGCACACAAAGTCAAGGCTCAGTAAAGAAACTTGCCTAAAGTCACCCATCCTTTTTTTTTTTTTTAAACAAGTCCACTTAGACTTGCATTTTATTTGTTTTTGTGGTGCTAGGGATCGAACCCAGGGCCTTGTGCATGCAAGGCAAGAACTCAACCACTGAGCCACATCCTCAGCCCAAAGATTTTTTTTTTTTTTCTTTTTCCAGTATTGGGAATCAAATTCTGGACCTTGCGCTTCCCAGGCAGGTGCTTACGCCACTGAGCTATATCCCTGGCCTCACCCACCCTTTAGTCAGCACTGTGCTCTTTTTTGTGTATTTAGTCTGTTTTCTTAACTAAAACCCAATTTCTTTATTAAAGGGAAAAAATAAAGTGAGGCGTGTGAAGACCATTTATGACTGCCAGGCAGACAATGACGATGAGCTCACGTTCGTCGAGGGAGAAGTGATCATTGTCACAGGGGAAGAGGACCAGGAGTGGTGGGTATGTATGGGTATCTCTGCATTTCTTCCATCTGCTCACACAGCACTGCCCAGATGGACAATGTATTGAGTCCTCAGACCCCACAGTGAATAAGATAGCACCCTGAAAAACAAGGATCCTGCCAGCTGTGTCACTTACCTAAGTGGCCCTGGGTATTTGATCTTTTCTGTCACTGTAGCATATGCTAGAAAAACAGACATACGGCTTTGAAAGGTCAGAAGAAATAACATTTATATAGCTTTTTCCATGGTATCATACAACAGCCTTGTGTGGTTGTAGGTGTTTTCTAATTTTTCAGATGGAAAACCAAAGCTCAAGAATGTCAAGCACATTACCCATCATCTTTTCCTAGCAGCCAATAAGCAGGCAAGGTCAAGATGCCAAGTCTACCCCAACCCCCAAAGCCTGTGTTTTTCTCACCTTCCACACTGTACCCAGGTTGAGCATCAGACGGCCAAGGTCTCATGGAAACTAAACTATTTGACCAGTGCTCAGTCCTCAGGCTCAATCCCAAATCCACCCTGCAGTTCTCCCTTTGCAAAGTATGGCCATAAAACTTCCTCACCGGATTATGAAGATTAGATGAGAATATCTGTGAAAACTTTTTACAGTAAAACCTGTTGCCCACATTGGGAAAGGAAGGGCATCGTTGTCCTTCCCAGGGAGCTGTTCAGAGGCCAGAGGCCTTGTGGATACCAGGCTGTAAGAGGCCTCCAAGGGCCACCACACAGCCGGTGCAGTTCATGCTGGCCAGGGGTCAGTCATCTTGGGAACTGCCGGTCCAAGGTGCAGTCTTCCTTCTTTCGGGCCTGTAGGAATAACACATTCAAGTCGGTTCCAACAGGGGACAGTTTTGCCCTTCAGGTACTTTTGGCAATATCTGGGGACATTCTAATTGTCAGGAAGAACCTGGGAGAGGTGGGTGCTGTGGGCATCTAGTAGGTAGAAGCCCGGGATGCATGGACATCCTGCAGTGCTCAGTGGAGCCCCTGCAACAAACAATGTGAGTAGAGCAGAGACTAAGACCGAGGACTGAAGTGCAAGTGGCAACATCAGCCCAGAGGTGCTCAGCGTTCCAGCCTCTGCTGGTGGAGTTGGGCTTGCGCCCAGCATGCAGTCTGTTGGAGAACCTGCTCAGGACAGTAGCAAGGAGATAGACTAAGTCACTGCTAGCTCTGTGGCCTTGGGAAAAAAGCGTGTCCCTTTCCAAACCTATTTCCTCTGAGAAAATGGGACGTGATTAATCTACTTCACAAGAATATCCCAGGACACATTTTGTAATCCATTAAGGTCACTACTGTTGGACAGTGATGATATTCTTTACTAAGAAACTGGTAACTCCAGCAGAGATTCCTGGGTAATGGGGAGTCTTCATTGATATCTCCAACATCATTTTTGGGAGAAATTATGTGCGCTGTGGACACATGTCCAGCCAGACATAACGATGTCACCACACGTCCAAATGGTGACCTGTGACTCCCAGAGCCCTCTCGCTGCATGGTGCCAGCTAAGACCTCATGATATCTGCAGACCACATCTCACCATTAACTATATTTCGCAAACAGGCAGCTAGTAGCAGGGGTGTTCCCTGAGAAGAGCCCTGGGACGGAGGGAGCCCTGGGCTGTGTGCTGCACCCCTCCCCCGACACTGCAGGTGCATCGGTTCTCTGAGGGAGACTGATAGCTGGCCTCGCCTGGCTCATTCTGTCCCATCCTTCAAGCCCCTCTCCTCTGTATTTTGTACTTACAGCCAATATGTATAGTCTTGATATTCTTTCTGTTAAAGACTCATGATATGATTGTCTTTAATGTAATTAATATCCATGTAGTTGAGGTAATAAGAAAATTTTTGCAGGTTACCATGGCTTCCAGGCTTATATAGCAGACAATAAAATTGCCATTGGCCATAGTCAGTGTCACATTTTTTCACAGGGTCTTTTCCCTGTCGTAATGAAATGACAAGTAATTAGTACACAGAGTCTGAGAAAAAAGCATTTTTAGCCCCATTTTGACACTAAGAGGTTTACTATGGTTTCTCTGAGGCTACCCACCTGGAAAGGTAACCAAGCCCCCCAGTTCAGAGCAGGGACTTGGAACCTGAAGCCCAGGAGAGGCTGGCGTAGGTTATTTCCCTTTAGGCTGCTGCATAGGTACATTGAGAGCCGTGCAAAAGTGCTGAGCATTTTGTAAGATCCGTCATTTGCAACTCCCTTGTTTTATTACATGGTTCATGACCCCCAAGCTCTCTGAGGTTCACCAGAGGGTGGGGTAGGATGAGGCTGCGGTTCCACCCCAGGTACGTAGGCAGACTTTGAGCAGGCTCTTACCCACAAGGCCTGTTCCAGATTAGCTGCCTGCACCTCTGGCCTGAACCATCTTTCTTCTCTCTGCAGATTGGGCACATCGAAGGTCAGCCTGAAAGGAAGGGGGTCTTTCCAGTGTCTTTTGTTCATATCCTGTCCGACTAGGAAGCCCAAGCCTCAGACTGCCTACATCCTTCATGCAAGACTGCTGCCTCCATGTAATCCTGTGCACAATTTGTATATAGCTGCTGTTACAGAATGAGAAACTCATGAAGGGCCACCTCAGGAGGGGAATATAGTATGTATTGTAAATATCCTGTGGGCTTCTGCCTTCACCAGTATTAGGATAGCCTCGGGACCCGGTTCGCCTTACTGGTTTGCCAAAGCCATCCTTGGCTTCTAGCACTTAACATCTCTCTATGCTGTTTTACAGACAACAACAACAAAACAAAACAAAAAAAAAACAGGAGTGTAGGAACTGCTGGCTTTGCAAGTAGAAGTGGTCTCCAGCACCCCCTGAAGGGCATAGAATTGACTTTGTTCCTAACAATGCAGTATTCTCAATCGTGTTACTGAAAATGCAACATTAGCAAAGAGGTGGGTTCTGTTCTCCAGGTGAAACTTCCAGTTAGCTCCATGACAGACCAGCCTGTAGTTAGGTGTGTGCACAGTTTACAGCTACAAAACCTACTTTGGTATTTATTACAGAAAAGTGCTCAGTTAAATGTAAGTATTACTCCTTCAGCAGAATAGTCACTGACCCAAAACTCTCGGTGGCATTTTACAATGCACACGGCCTCGTGCAAGTTTAGGCAGGTGGATTTGTACTGTCACACGGTGATGAGTGCCCACCCTGAGATATTACCTCATTATGCAGAAGTCACATATCCTTCATGACTATTTGGACAAAAGTTTAAAACATGTCTGATGAAGTTCAACTTTCAGGAACCAAGGACTGCCAGAAAATACTAACCTGTACAATATGCATGCATCTAGAAGCTTACCTGAAATCTGCCTTTTATAAAGGAATAAATAGTGTCAATGGTTGAACTGTACACTTTTTAAACTTGAGCGCCATTAAAGCAGAAATTATAAGGTTGCAAGAACATTTGTTTCTAGTCAGTCATTTGGCCTTCTCAAGAGTATGAATTTACATATCGTATTGCGAGTCAGCATCCCTTAAGTGTGTCAGAGCATCCAAAGTATTGGTTTTAAATTGTTTTTTTAGTTTGTTTTTGAACAAATTAAAACTTTTGTGGGTTTTTTTTGTTTTTGGGGTTTTTTTTTGGTACTGGGAATTGAACTCATGACAGGGAGGCACTGTGCCGCTGAGCTATATCCCTGGTCCTGAAACTTTTAAAAAATTATTCAAGATGAGGCATTTACAAATCAACCCTTTACAGTTTTTCCGGTGTAGAATCCAGGTGCTGAAACCAAGCTTTTCTTTTTCCATTCTATTTCTTAAAACCCAATTATAAAATAAGTTTTCCCACCCTAAGCTCTGTCCAGTAGACATGTCCCCTTCAAGTCAATTCATAACCAAGTTTTGGAACGCTGCTATGAATTGCACTGTGAAAAAGGCTCTCTCCCTGCGTAGAGTGAGTCTCTCTTCTCTCTCACACTAGCGCACGCTCTCCCACTCTCTCCTCTTTCTCTCTGTCCCCTTTCCTCTCTCTGTATTTCTGCTCTCGCGTGCGCTCTCTCTCTCTCTCAGTGTCTTGTTATTTTTGTTTTGTTTTCCATCCCAGCCGTGGTTGTCAGACCATTAAGAACATTGTGAGTATTTTAGTCTTTGACATCAGTCTGAACCTTGGAAAAGAATACAGTAGCTGTAGTCCACAGTCAGTGGGACTGTTCTCTGATTCCCAGGCGCATGTGCTGTTCTGGCATTACATTTACTTAAACTGCTATTTTGGCAATAGCACAGAAGCCTAATATTTTTAAGCAGATAATCTTGGCAATGAATGAGAAATGTTAATTTCACAGAAGCACAACTCCCAAGCAAAATTGTAGGAAAGGCCTGCTTTCATAGTCACAGTGCTCAATAAACATTAATTTAGTGCTGTTTACCTGGTTCCTAGGAACACTTTAGATAGCCACCTGAACAATAAACCTTGCATGGTAGACCTGCAAAATATTTTATCAGCTGTTAATGGAAACTAGTTTTAAACAATTGCTTCCTCGGTGTCAGGGCACATGTACATTCCCACATGAAACCGGGAGTGGGGGGCACTGTGCCTGTGCTGGTACCGCACTGGTATCAGGACAGGAAGCCAGCACTGAAGGTGCCCAGTGCACCGCTGCGTTCATTTGCACACTTTCAGTTGCGTGAAAGAGCCGTTCTTTTTTGTGGCCTAGACTATTTTCAGTGATTTGAAAATAAACTGGTTTATGAGAAACACACACAAAAGCTGTATCTATAAAATTACATGGATTCAGTGGCCGGTCTTTTCCCATGTCACAGCTACTCACACAAATGCATTTTTCATGCCTTTCTGTCTCTGGTTGTGTTTTTGTTTCCATAAGGAAGTTGAGTTCTCTAATCCGGTTTACTGTAGAACATAGGAAAACTCCATAGAAACACCATTGCCAATCTCGTGTTTAAATCTGATCTTAAACTCATGAGCCACTATCTGCAATTTTGTACATGATATAGTATTTTGAAGTTGTGGAACTTTACGAAGAAATAGCAAATTAGTTCTTTCCGCCAGACAGGAAAGTTACGTTCTGCAAATAGCGTGTCTTATTTTACTGTTGAACAGCAACTGCTATTTATTTTTTTATTGCCTAGAACTTCAGCGTGTTGTATAGGAATCTCACAGTGCCACTAGTTAAACTCCGAGTCTCCATCTGGGTGTTGCCGTGAAGCATCAGTATACTTTCCATTTCACATGTATTTAACGTGACAGTTTTTCAGTAATGTATGTGTTAATTTCTACTTTTTTTAATATTTAAAATTGCTTTTAAATAAACATATTCTCAGTTGATCCCAAGCATCCAAAATCAGCCATTTTGTGAGTTGTCTGCTACTCTTCTGAATCAAGGCTCCATCCTGGGGGAGAACCTAGCACAGGTCACCCTGGCTCCCGCATCAAAGTTCGCCCTGAACGAGGAGCATTCCCAGTCCTCCCAGCTTACAGATGATGGCCTGGGCCCTGGGTCTCGCTGTCATGTGACAGTGTTTATGCCAAGGGCTGAGTTGCACATGGCCTGGCGCCAGACACCCCCCCCCCCCGTGGCATCTCCTTGGTCCATGACAGCCCCCAAAAGGCGTGATCACAGGTTCACTGCTGGGTGAGAAGCCCGCAGCACTGGGACGACCTGCCAGAGGTCACATGGGGAGTGACGGGCAGCAGTGTGGCCCTCCTTCCCCGCTCTACCCTACCTCTCTGCTCCACCCTAAGCCTGTCCCACTTTCCCCAGTCCCAGTGCAGGGGGTTGTTAGGCTAATTTGACCTTTTCTGCTTCGCACATTCTCTTTGGATTCTCCTCCCTCCCAAGTTCAAATTGTCTATTTCCCTGGATTTGAAGTTTGACTGTTTCACTAATGGGCTCCCTTCTCCAGGAGGCAGGCCGTCCGAGCAGAGGGCTCGGGGACACCTTCGGCCTGGCCCCTGCACCCCGCGGCCTGGAATGGAGATGAAGGTAGTGCACTTGTATTACCTTATGCCTCAACATCCGAGGCTCATGGGACCCTGTGTCACAGTGACACCAGGCCTGTGGTTGCAAAGATGAGCCTCGAGTTCTCTGTCCTGGAAAAGTTTGCCGCCTGGAAGCAGGTGTGAGTGGTGACGGCCGTGGGGATCAGCTGACAGGACCCTCTGGAAAGGCATGTAGCTCACCTCACACAGGGAAGTTCCTGCACAGCACGCTGGGTGAGAGGGTGGCGCCCCTGTGACGGCTGGCAGGAGGGAGAAGACAGCAGGCTGAAGCAGAATCACCTCAGAGCCATCCGTGCTGTGCTGGATAGCAGGACCGAGGAGCAGGTTGCTCGCTAGTGGCTGCTGCACCATCTTGGCGCGGCGAGACCTGTGCTGAGCGCTGCATCGTGGGTTACGTTCTCTCAGGAGCACTATGGCGGAGCTGTGTTCTCGCCTTCTGTGGATACAGACTTAGTGGAGATTGATGCTGAAAGAGTGTCAGGCATAACTTAGCCAAAGCCAGCCATTCGTGATGGTGGAGGCCAGGTTGGAACCATGACCTAGGGCTCCGTGCAGTCCTGTGCATGACAGCCCACCACCACCGCTGTCTGTTTCCAGACTGGAGGGTGATCCCAGGGCCTTCGCACTAATCTACATCCCCACTTCCTTTATTTCTAACTTTGAGACAGGGTCTCACTAAGCTGCCCGGGCTGGACTTGAGCTTTCAATCCTCCTGTCTTAACTTTCAAGAGTGCTAGAATTACAGGCATGCGCCACCGTGCCTTGCTCCTTTGCTGCGCTATCTGAACAGAAACTGAGCCAAAGCTGGCCTGCCCCAGGCCACTACCCACAGGTCAGCCGCCAGCGCAGTATAAGCCATGCGATGAAATTTCTGGTCAGAAGTGACAGTACCTGCTAGAAGGGCCGCGTGAGCATTGGACAGCACACTTGGGAATAAGCAGAGGCTGCCGAGTGCCTGGGGAGTGTGACTGAGCAGACAGCGAGGGGCAGCTGGAGTCTGTCTGTGAGCCCAGCAGCCCAAAAGCAAACCGAACCATGTGCTCCTGAAACAGGAAACAGCCCTCTGCAAAGATTTTTCCACACAGCACACCCTAGTTGAGGCCCAGGAGGCCAAAACGACCTTCTGCAAAACCACCAAGGCAGAAGCCTGGCTCAGCTTCACTCTTCACCAGGGAGAATTGAAACTTCACTTGATAGTGCCAAGTAGATCTGAGAGAGACCACATTCACCTGAAAATACAGTAGGCCTCAGTTTTCAGATTTTGGCCAGCACCTTCTGGGGTCCTCAGTATTAAAACCAGATTACTGAGCCAGGCATGGTGGCACTTGCCTGTAATCCCAGCACTCTAGGGGGCTGAGGCAGGAGGATTAGCTATTCAAGCCCATGTAAGCTCAGCAATTAGGCTGAGGCGGAAGGATTGGCTCAAGTTCTAGGCCAGCCTGAACCTGTCTCAAAAACAGAAATTGAAGCCCAGCCTGGGCAGCCTGACAAATTAGCAAGACTATGTCTCAAAGTAATTATTTTTAAAAAGGAACTGGAATGTAGTTCAGTGCAGAAGACCCTGGGTTCCATTCCCAGCACTGAAGAAAAAGGGGGGCTCATCTCAAAAATAAGGACTTTCCTTGCTTTCCCTAGTGAAAAGTGACAAATTAGAGATGTGAACCTGCTGAATGCTTGACATGCAGTCGGTGACCACTCGTGGTCCTTGACTGAGTGCAGAACCTGACACCTCCCGTCAGCAGCTAGAGGGGCACCTAGGTGCGTGTGGAGAAAGCCAAACCAGCTTCTCCAGGGCCACCAGTGGGGGGTCTGGTGATCCGGTCACCTTTGACTCAGTCTACCTGCAAACAGAGTCAGCAGGCCAGGGCTGCCTATACCCCGGGCCCCAGGTGGTTTTTCCTGCACGTCCAACACTGGCCACACACCAGGGGTTGGATGAATTTGCTAGAGCAACTCACAGAACTAAGGCAGACACATTTAAGGGGTGATTATAAAGGACATGACAACAGACCAGAGGAAGAGAGGCAGAGGGTGAGGCAGGAAGAAAGGACAGGAGCTTCACCGCCTCTCTGGGAACCTGCCTTCTGGACCCCCCACAGAAGCAGCTTATCGGAAGCACCCCAAAACTTGTCATTTGAGGTTTTTGTGGATGCTTCATTACAAATGGATGGATTCGATCACTACGCTCTAGTGATCAGTTTAACCCCTCACCCCTCTACCCTCCTGGGAGGTTAGGGATAGGGCTGGAAACTCTCCCCCTCTAGTCCTACTTGGTCTTTCCAGTGACCACCCCCCATCCTGAAGCCAGTGGGAGCAGCCAGCCAGCAATGGTCTGCATACAAAAAAGACACTTGTCACCTGGTAGACTGCAAGGATTGTTAGGAGTTGTATGCCAGGAAACAGGAGGAAAACCAAGTACCATACAGGATTTTCAGCTCTCACAG